AGACCCATGTTCCTTAACAACCCTTTTCTCGATCCTCTTAGTCCGACCGACTTCCTTTTTGGTTGTCGAACAGGAATTGTACGCATATGAGCTCCTTCTGTACTTCTACCTCCCTGCCTATCCCTATCCCGTTGTAATGACCTTGTTGTAGGCGTGCTACTTCCACTGTGCTCTTCTCTATTACCACCTCCACCAAATCCCTGCATCAAACCCTCACTCTGCGCATCTAGCAACATTTGTAATTCCGTCTGCAAAGCCCGTTCTCTCCTTTCCAGCCCCAAAAGACTGTCATTTTGTGCCGAGCTTCCCACAGCACTCCCCACACTCTTCAATATTCCAACTCCCCTTCCTTCACGAACCACGTTCCCTCTCAAAAGAGGACTTCCGCTTCCATCTAAACTCCTTCCAATATTGCCCAACCCAGCGACACTCCCTACAATCGGCGGCGGAGGAGCAGCAAATTGAATTCTTCTTCCCTTCGCCTTCCCATCCCCTTTGAATTTACTCGCAGATCCCGATTCGGAGATTGGTCTTGGAGAAAGCGTTCTCGCACTCGCACTGGTAGGTGACCTCAGACCCCTATAGAATTCTGGCGGTGGACTCGGTGTAGCTCTCGATGCTGAAGGGGAAGAGAGGTCTCGCAGATGAACATCATTATGCGGGTCGTATACGCTTGATAGAAGAGGATGATTTTGATCATTTGTTCCTGAAGAGTTGCTGAAGAACGAGTTACGGGAGTGGGACATTTCGTTTTCGAGATTCGAGGCCTTTCTTTTGTTTATATTTGATGCTTTGATATTATGAGGATTTGTAACTTCATTAAAGGTTAGAGACTCGTCTAGGAGATATCTAATAGGTCTAACAGATGTTCGCTACTACTGCTGTGATGTGATGAAATCGATTGTGAGAGCCGTAGGTACAAGCTGGCTTCGAACAGAGAAATGCAAGAGTATTAGAATGGGAAAAGTAGTAGAATTGGAATAGCTACAACTAGGTACTTAGTCAAAGTCGCAGTACACTATCTTAAATGATATGAGCACATGCATAAATGTGAATCAAGCTGGATAAGCAGGATGGCCAGTTCGAATCATTGAGTATATAATATCTAGACAAGTAGCAGTGGCTTCTATCACATGCGACAGGCACAAGATGTGGAGATCAGCCTCGTGAAGGACGTGCACGAAGACGAGGCTGAACGTCAACAAGGCCATAATTTTCAACTGTGTCAGCGCTTTTTTACAAGCAAGTTCAAGTGTGGAAATTTCAAGAGTATTATACAAATCCAACTTGTATTAGATCGTCGCGCTCGTTTGTATTTTGAAACCCAAACATCACATAGCTTCGAAGAAAGTTCAAAAGGAGTGGGGATAACTCGTTATCAAAGCATCACTCTTCTCGGACTAAGGATAGAGAATATCATAAAAATCACATTTTCAGGCGGTAAAGCATTTGGTATTCGTCTATAAACAAGGCAGTACATTCTGTACATTTGCACCCAATTCCGTGACCTTCTGGTTTGTTTGTTCTTCATTATCATAACCATTTTAAGTATGAAAGAATGGTAAAACTAATTACGGTACGAACTCGAGAGGCCGTATAAAGCATCGAAGCTTGGTTCGATGCGAGGTGAGGTTCGGGTATATCGTTCTTATAGATGAACTAAAGTTCATGATGGTATTATTTCAAGTTGGTCCCTTGCTATTTAGATTTGCTCTAAACCAAGGTTCTCTGGCTCAGCCTTGATAACACGGAGACTAGAAACATGAATTAGCAAAGATCCAGAATGAATTTGGCATGATCGAAACTTACGTGTTGGTGTTACCCATACCACCCTTCCATCCTTGGACAACGACGACACTCTCACCTTGAGCCAATACCTTAAGCTTGAGAGCCTCAGCAATACCCCACTTGATTCTTCGGTCGACATCCTCTTGCCAGTTAACCTTGGAAAAGTCTGGCTTCTTCTCAGCAAAGTGGAAAGGATAGACACCACGATACAAGTGACCGTATCTGGATGCACTGGCATTTCGGGTAACCATGAAGATAGGGCAGACTGGTCTGTACTTGGAGAGAAGACGTGCGCTGTCTCCGCTGGTGGACAAAACGATGATAGCACCTGCATTGATGTCCAAACTGGCGCGGACTGCTGCCATGGCACATGATTCGACAACGCTGACTGGTCGTTCGGTAAGGTTGCAAAGCTCCTCGAAGTGAGAAACGTACGCGATGGAGTTCTCAGCCTTCAAACAAGTTTCGTGCATCTCGGTAACAGCCTCGTTAGGATAGCTTCCCTTAGCAGTCTCTCCAGACAACATGACACAGTCAGCACCATCAGTAACAGCGTTACCAACGTCACTGATTTCAGCACGAGTTGGTCTTGGGTTGTAGATCATGGACTCGAGCATTTGGGTAGCACAGATGACTGGCTTACCAGCCATGTTGCACATTGCAATCATCTTCTTTTGAGCAGCGAAAACCTCAGCTGCTGGGATCTCGATACCCAAATCACCACGAGCAACCATGACACCATCAGTCTCCTTCAAGATCTCAGGGAAGTTGTTAAGACCTTGTCTGTTCTCAATCTTGGCAATGATTTGAATGTGCTTTCCATCTTCACCGAGAACCTTACGGATTGACTTGATATCCTCACCACGACGGATGAACGAGGCAAAGACCATGTCGACGTTGTTCTTGACACCAAATCTCAAATCGGCTTGATCCTTCTCAGACAAAGCTGGAAGATCGACATCAGTGTTTGGGAGGTTGACACCCTTCTTGGAAGAGATCTTTCCGTTGTTTCTTGCGCGGCAACGGATGGTCTTGTCGTCAACAATCTCCAAAACATCGAAAGCAAGGACACCGTCATCAACATAGATGATGCGTCCTGGTTCGATGACCTTGGTGATGTTCTTGTAGTCAACGTACCTGAAAAGGGTCGTAAGAGATTAGTATGGAATGCTTTAATGATAATTTGTTTGTTGTGAATGGTACGTACATGTTCTTCTCATCACAAGCAGTGGCATACTTGTCATCGGTTGTAATGTTGATCTCTGATCCAGCAGAGATAGGGATATCGGCATCACCAACTGTGTTACCAGTTCTGATCTCTGGACCCTTGGTATCTAGAGCGATGGCGAGTTGACGTCCTGGTTGAACCTTCTCGGCTTCACGGGCATTGTCAATAACGGATTGATGGTATTCGTATGAACCGTGGGAAAAGTTCATGCGGACAACATTGAGACCAGCGACACGGAGCTTGTTGAGAGCTTCGACCGAGTTGGTTTTAGGACCGATAGTACAGATGATAGAAGTACGGCGATAGTTCTTGGTAGGCTTGAACTCAGTGTTGAGATTTGCCAACCAAGCAATCTTGGAGGTTCCAGTAACTAAGTGATCCATTGCGGTGGCCATTTTGTAAAATTATCAAGAGGCAGGTTGAGGAAGAGGAATATGTAGGTAGAAATCGAGGTGGTGGGGGTAAGTGCAACTGTTAAAAAGCCTTTTTCTTTCCAATTCGTCAGTTTAAATGTGAGCAATCGAATTAGGAAAATGTAGAAAAAAGGTTGAATGAGAAACAAAAGTATTGAAATATGCAGCAAAAGGAAAAGGAAGTGTATTATTAGTTTGATGTTGTGCCGTGTTTCTGCCAATCTGTTGGCTGGATTAAAAGACACGGACAACGATAAAACAGTCCAAGAATGCCAATATTTGAATTGTTGAGCTGAGATCCAATACAAAGCACAAGGGGCCACCAATGCACCGAAGTATATTAATGATATACAAAGGGAAGGAGAAGGGGAAATAAAATGATAAACTTACCAGTTGACCAGATGTTGAGTTGGATTGAAGAGGAAGAGGAAGACGAACAAGAACGAATAGAATATAATCTAAAGACCTTGTGGTTGTGTTGGGAAGCTTTTATGGTTGAAGGAGCTTGGAGGGGAGAGGAGGGGAAATGTTCCTTTTTTTTTTTGGAAAAAATCTAATCGACTCCCCCTCATCTCCAAGCTAGCCATCTCACCCACTACTATGTGTATCCATATCCCACTTCGCAGATTTGCCTGGTGTGAAACCCCACATCAATATGTTTGAGGTGACATTGGCGTGAAGGGTCCAGCGAGATACCGGCCGGTAGGTCCGTGATAGTGAATTTTGAATTTCTATGTCAAATATCTTTTAGGTATCGATGTCCCTGGGGTCTTGGGAGGTATGGGAGCTATTTGGCTGGCCATGCAATTGTTTCGAGTGAATTACGCAGCAAACGATAAAACAATTGATAATGATTGACAAGAACTGCTTACATGTAGCTACCTACATAGTACCCTTTGCCGGTATTTATTTCTCTTACCTCTCTTACCTCTCTTACCTCTCTTACCTCTCTTACCTCTCTTTTCACTGATGTGTATCTAGGTGCCTAGTAGATATATACTCATGTGTAGATATATATAGGTGTGTGTGCATGAACAAGTAACAATCCTCTTCCCTCTTCCCTCTTCCCTCTTCCCTCTTCCCTCTTCCCTCTTCCCTCTTCCCTCTTCCCTCTTCCCTCTTCCACACACCCATCTACCTACTCCGTATCCAAAGTTCCTATACTCTTCGCATACTTTCTCTCATGCAATGACAAGTCTTGGATGGTACAGGTAGGGACCACGGTATATAGATCCCTTACCCCGAATGAAACAAAATATCTTGGGGTGCCATTTGGTGAAATGCGTGTTTTGTTGTCTGGGCATTCTTTGCTTCTTTGGATGCTGAGAATGGCTCGAGACTGGCTTAACTCAGGTCCGATAGCAGATAGCGATGTGCGTTAGTCCTAATGGAGTCCTAGCGAAGATCTTAGCTTTGACGGAGCTCTAGAAAATTGAATACCTAAGTGCTAATAAGTAAGTACTACTAGGTAGTATCGGCCATTCTTTCGGTCCTGAATGCCAAAAATTAAAAGACTAAAATGTAACAGGAACCCACTTGGGCGCCTGGACGCAGGATGCTCTACGGAGTACTCCATCATCCATCATCCATCATCCATCATCCATAGTAGTCTATCGACCGTGTCCGCTCAAAGTTCGAACTTCCGAGATTCGGCCCGAGTGCCTAAGATTAAAGGCAACAACTATCTTGGCTTAGCTCCTTAGTTTCTTATCCTAAGGTTCTGAATCTGATCTGATCTCTCGTCGGTGAATATATCCGAGACTACCTATTATCCCAATCTCAAAAGTCAGCTCACGTCGTAACAACCTTGGAATCTAAAACAAGCAAATCATAACCCAACCTTTTGCGCATCAAACGTTTGTCGGGCTCCGGATAATTCACATTACCTTTTCCATACTGTTATCTTAGAAAGCGTATAAATTTCGCCCTTCAAGTCATAAATATGGTAATTAGTTGCCTCCCCCTAAGCTTGCAGGTCTTTCAGAACTTGGGAACCTAATCAGCTCAGTTCTTCCTCAATTTACTGACATTTGGACTCGCGGGGAAGCTTGGAAGACTTACTCACTATGCATTTGATGCTGTCCTATGTAACTATCCCCTCCCGATTCTCCTTGGAGCAAAAAGTTCGAAAATGTACTGACCGTTCTTGATATAGTCTCAGCATTCTTGGCTGGTATGAAGAGATCAACTGGCTTGACGTGTGTTCACCCCTATACCTTCCTTTGCGACCATGTTGCGAAACGATCAACTAGTACTACAGATGCAAAATTTTGGGTTTCATGATCTGGCGGTGTAGAAGGCTAACAATTCCCATCCTTCGGGACTCTAGACCCAGCCTTAAGAAAGATGTCACCGAAAACAAAGAAATCAACGGTTGGATCGAGAAATATCTTGGAGTTGGTGAATGGGTTATGGATACATCGGTAGCCTTTGCAGGGTCTTCCGGCTTCTTCGAGAGAAAGAGATGATTGGGGCCTTTGATGCGGATGTGTGAAAAAGAGTATATGCATCTCAGATGCGGGGAGGAAATGAATTCACGGCAGATACCTTGCGATTTGGAAAACGATCGATAGGGGTCAAGATCCCATGGAGTTTTGGGCGTTTTTGTGTGGACATGTCTGCTTGAAGGTGGCGGTATAACGACGATATGGTTAAGGGTGACGGGAGGTACTCTCTTCTCTATGAGTTAGGATACTTTTGCAGGCAAAGGAAGAAAATGAAAATGTAGCCAGATATAGAAGATGTATTGCCAACTATGTATATTTTTCTTCAGAGGGCATCTCCACATCTTGATACCCCATGTTCCGAAGGGCCAGCCGAAAAGACCCGAAATCGAGTTTTCCTACTAGACTTTAACTTCATCCTTCTCTGCCCCTCTTTGCCTAGATCTTCTTCACACAACAGTCTCCCATCTGTGTCTTTCTATTCTTATCAGATCTCCAAGATCTCTTGACCCCTTGGCTTCTACTTTCCTATCCTTTTACAAGAACATAAAAAGCCCCCAGTAAACGGATGTGGTCTGTCTAACTCGTTATATGTAAGACTTAAAAGCCTCTATCAAGTCAATCCAGCTCAGCCCTACCATATATGGTTTTGTCTTGTAATCGACAGAAAGCTATTTCGAAATAGAATTCACATGTGAAAGGTCAATTGGGGCTCTGGATTGACTGGTATTAATGGCTTTCCATCTTTTTAATGCAGATCTTGTACATGCCTATTAATTATATGCAACTTTACTTCACCAGGGAATCGTCCCGTCATTGAATCCCTAGGTACTGGTGGTTAGCGATTCTTTATGGGCTACATCCGGGAGATCTACAGGCTAGTGGGGGCACAACAGCCTTAAGCTATTCCACCTCATCATGTTCATCATTCAATCTCGAATCCATCACAATTTGAACATATACTCTTCGACTTCAATCATCACCACAGGAAATTGGCATTGATGTCATAGTACTCCAGAGAAGTTTACTTCATTATGCCAACAGCAATTCTACTGAATTTACTCCTGGGATGAGATTATTCATCCTCAGGAAACATAATCGTTATGCTACCACCACCTACTTTGAGCTTCACAATTCCTTCTGTCCACGACAATCTGAATCTCGAGTGTCGTATCTACCATCCGTCGAGTCTGGCACCCAATTCTATCTCGCAGGCTTTGCCATGGAGAAAGAAAGCTGCTATTGTTGCGCATCCTTACGCTCCATTGGGGGGAAGTTATGATGATGTGGTTGTCGGTTTGATTGCTTCTACCATTTTGAATGATGGGTTCATTGTGGGAACTTTCAATTTTCGGTACATATAACTACCCACCTATCATCATATGTTTGAACATCAGACTCACTTACTATATCCAGTGGTGCGGGCTCCTCAAAGGGGCACACTTCATGGTCCTCCTTGCCCGAACAAAAGGATTATATATCATTTCTCGGATTCATTGTAACCTATTTACATCACCTTTCTGTGCCATATTCTTCTAGGCCCCCGTCGTTTGCACATTCCGAACCCCAACTTCACACCCTCGCTCCTGTCCCATCAGAACGCTTAATGCAGCCTACGAATGATGGCCTTCCAGGCAGATATACCTCCGCAGGATCAGGCATTGAGAGCAATGATGCGCAACCTCTATTACTACTTGCCGGCTACTCATATGGATCGCTTATCACTATAAACCTCGAGCCGAGCCTTCTTGGAATGCTAGCTCCTTTCCAGCAACCAGCCTCTGGCAGTCCATACGCAGACATAAGATCTCGAGCACGATTCTTAGCCACTCAACAGAATGAAATGATCGAAGCTACATATTCATTGCTTCGAGCTGGAGGTCATCGGAGAGGTCGTAGTCTTCAATCAGGAGAACAAATGATAGATCACAAAACTCGATTATCTAGCTCAGGGGTCAGAATGGGCGGCGATGAAGATATCAGAAGAGCTAGCCATGATATGCATGGTTCTGGAATGAGACGATCATTTTCTGTGGATGCACCGATGAAAGTCAGGAAGAGCATGGATAAGTTCAAGTCTATTGTTCATCACGGGTCGCCAAGGAGAGAAGAAAGCCAGCCTTCGTCGATTGATCAGGGCGAAGATAGTGTTATAAATCTGGGAATTCCAGAGAGGCTTTCTCGTGATAGGGGAGATGCCAATATCATGAAAATTCTTGGAAGTGATTTCAAAGTTGCTTATCTACTCATTTCCCCTTTACCTCCTGATGGCATGATCAACAATTTGGCCAGCATCGGGAGCTTTAGATTGACTTCGCTTTTCGGAAAGCAAAGCCATAAAGTGGATAACAACGTCAAGTTTATAATTGACCCTACTTTGGTTGTCTATGGGACCGGTGATCTTTTCGTCCAAGTTAAAACTGTCGAGCGTGAGTCAAAGCCAATGGCTATGAAAAAATTGAATCAACGGGCACTGACTTTCACTTTCCAGGCTGGACTGAAAAATTGTTGAGTTTATGTAAGAGTAAAGGATCTGCGAACGGAGCAGTTTTCAGGTACGAAGAGATCGCTAATGGAGAGCACTTTTGGAGAAATTCCAAGGCTGCTAGGCAGCTGGTGGAGAAAATCAGTTTTTTTCTGTCGAAGATACTGGAGTAATTTTCTTACATAGCATGATGGCATAGACTATAGATCAATGATAATGTTAATGAAATCACGAAAGTTCATGAAAACAATCATCTTCAAACCTCCGCCAAGATTTCACGTCTTTGTGTAATACATCGACGGAAAGTGAGACGAAGAGGGAACAGACATCAATGGATTTCCGTCTGTTCAATCGAATGGAAAACTTCCAAGTGGTCGCGAAGGTGGATTGATGACGTAGTATTTTGCTCTCGGTCATAAGAGAATTCGATCGTTTGGTTATGATTATATGATGAAGGGATGCACATGCTATTTATGTGGAATATGTATAGTATGCTGCGTGTAGAATTTTGGAACTTGGGAATATAGGATCTTTGTGGATCCGTAAACTCTTTGGATCTCTGTGGGCTTCATGTGAAGAAGATCTACTTGTAGTGCCAGGGCTTATACTTTGAAGTAGTAGGAAAGTTGATAGTGAATCTAGCAGAGACTTTTCATCGCTAATACATTTCAATGTTACTGTTCGCATCTTTCTGCAAAATCGTATCTTCACAGGGTCAAAGGGAAGCGTAATGATGACCAGTTCAACATTTGAAGTATTAAACTGGCTAAGATAAGTGGATACCGTAACTACCGATTCAAACATTAAAGGAATAACAACAAACTCGAGACGGTGCTCCATCTTTTGACCAACGGCAATATCATTCTTAAGGTGAAGTGGAACATTCTATTTGTAATGAGCCTTGCAGAGTTTCTCGCCATAATAGAAATGCTCGCCAGCCTCCATATCCGGGAAATTAGAAACTCTGGCCTTTTGCTCAAACATCATGACGCAATCCGATCCTCCGAAAGCAAAATGCGAAATCTCATCTCCTTTCTTGATCTTCTTGCCCTTTAAGTCCATGTTCATGTTGACTGAGGAGACAATCGCCATACCGATAGGCATGACAGCTACTCGTCCCAAATTTTCATTATTGATAATGAGGATTCCACGGGTCTGCAAGAATTGGTAGCCGGGTGAATCAGGAGCGTCAAGTGTGGTGACTCCATTGGTCTCTCGCTTCTTCATACAAGGGGAAATGCGACGTCGAGGTGCAAGGTAATTGTGTCCTCCAGCTTTCTTGTCTGTCTCAATGAGTACCTCTAGATAGGCAGCACCTTCAATCACATCGATGACCTCCACGGTTCCAGAGATGGGAGCGTGCTGTCGATGATAATCAAAGGTGTTGAGAAAAGAATGTGTCCAAATTCCTTCTTGGAACAATTCTCCGTATGTAGTTTTGCCGTCGGAATTTGGAACTATCTCTTTCCCGTATTTTCCGAGCAAGTGTGATACTTTCCATGGGAGATTCTTGAGTACTACCTCGGACTCGTCGGTGATGGAAAAGGCACCGGCAAAAGTGGAATCGGCAGGGAAGGTGATGATGCGATCATCTTCTGGTGAGGTAATTTCACGAGGTTCCTTAAGCTTGCGGTGGAAGAATTGATTGAAAGTCTTCCAATTCTTTGGGTCTTCAGCTTCGAACACACGGAATTGAGGAGAATTTCGGTAGCTGGTCAAGGAAGTCTCATTCCATGACTCGGGCTTGTCCATAAACTTCCCAATCTCCTTGGCATATCGCACCAGCCAGTCCGAGAGCGGGGTGAGCGGCTTGTTCACATTCTTGGGCAGGATGGACGTCTGACGCACGCCGAAGGGCTCTTGGGCCAGCACGAAATAGAACATGCAGAGGATGTAGTAGATGTCGCGGCCGTTGGTGCTCTCGGTGGGGATCCAGCCGCGCACCAACCAGTCTGCGAAATCGAGAAAGCCTTTGCCCGAGGTGATGCCGTAGGTTTTCATGTCTGGGATGTCGTGGGCCAGGGCGTTGCGCACGGCTGTGTCGAGATCGTCGACTTCGCGGAGGAGCTCGTCGCGTAGCTCGGTTACGATGGGGGCGTAGGTGGGCATGGTGGGGGGAGGGGGGAGTTGATGGGAATGCGGATAATTTTAAGAGTTCACGAGGATGGATGAGAGATGGTGAGTGAGACTTCTCAATATCGAGTGTGTATGTATGTTTGTATGTTTGTATGTTTGTATGGATTGAGGAGTTGTTATAGACCTGGGCGTTTGCATCCATCGTGGTTCCAGCAGCGCTTTATGTATTCTTCGTCAGTCGATAGTGACGACCCATGACGCAGTTTCTCTCTCGTTGCACTTGAACACGCATGAGTGCATATGCTTGCGTAGAGAGGATATGTTGGAGGCGGGCTGAAGATTGGGAGACTGGAGCGAGGTCTGCACAATACGGTACGTAATAGTCGTGTTACACGGTGATCGATCGTAACGATGCGAGTGCGTGGAATAGGAATGAGGGGTTTGTGGAGTTTCAAGACTTGTTCATCACATCACACTCGCACATTCATTGCACTGAGTCATATGTCGTGAGATAGCTATGGGTGTTCTGAAGTTCTTGTAGCCACTCTTGTCGTCGGGTTGGGTGAGATTGTTACATCGTTGTTGCTGGTAGTGAGTGGATGGTGGGAAGCCTTGCTCTTTCGGGGTAGCGATGTGAATGATCTGAAATGTCATCGGGTTTTCTGCTCTGTAGCGAGTCATTGCAGAACGCAGATAGCAGGAACTTTAGTGCTGGCTGAAATTCTCGTTTGGGCAAGCATTGCAGGGCAACAATATTAGCAGCTTTAGTGTTGGCTGAGATATGTATTTAGGTATAGATCTCAGAGAGATTGGGTAAAACAAAGGGGAGAAGTTACAGTAAAACTCGCTGGCCAAGTGGCTTATAAGGGATCTTCCTTCGTGCTATCTTTTTTTGAACAAGAACAAGTCTTTTACCCACCGAAATTCAACCTGTCTTCTACTCGTGCTGCCAGAAGATATGCATCTCTGAAGCTAGAGATACATATCACGAGATGGTAAACTACAAGTGTACTAATTTGATGCACTGGACCGAATATCCGGCACACTACACTCGCTAAAGTTAGAACAATTTTCGAGATACTGTTATTTTGGAAACAAATAACAATATCAAATAACGCTATGAAGGCCACAAAGACAAGATGATTACATGGTATAAGCATAGCAGTACTTATATACATTTCACGATCTAAAATATTGATAAATTGTTTTAAAGAAGAATTTTGAAAATGTTGTGGTTTTGGGCGTGTCTAATTTTCATTAGCCTCGAAGCTGCATACTTTCTGGGAGCACGAGCGCTGTTGATCAGACACTAGAACACAGCGTCACAACCCCAACACTAAAAGCGGTAGCACCCGCATCAGCCTAACGCTCATTATATTAACACTGACAAACCACTTCTACTAGCCAATCGTATCTGTAGCGTTACGAGTACACTAAAAAGAAGAGAAATCGAGAGACCAAAGTGGCATGCGGGGAAAAGTTCTGACGTATCCGCATTTAACCTTAATCGCCTGCGTTGATCTCGCGTCATCAATTATTCTGTATTGGTATCGGTGCATATCAGCTTTGATGTAGCACGCTCGTCTAACATGAATCGGGCTACACTAACTCTTAATAAGAAACTCGATGCGGCGGGGTAATGTATTTTAACTGCTGAAGATTTGCAGGAACGACAAATCAATTTCTTGGGGCCGGGATGAAGCGGTAATACGATATATGCATGTCATTCAATCGGTCTTTGTGCAGAAATCTTCAGCGGATAGATTTGGAACCGATAGTCGGCTAGTCATGTTGTGTTGTTGCTGTCTATACAGAGATGAGAATGCTCCGTCCACACGGCTCATCATGATGCAGGTATCTGAATCGAAGAGAATTTCCGGTCTCTGGGTTGTGCAGTGTACAAAGTGAGTGCCCAACTTTGAGCTTGTTTGGACACCCGAGAACTAGAGGTAACGGAATCATACGACGTTTGAGGTTGTGTATTGTTGGTTTTGGTGCTATGTTTGTCAGGTGAATATTATATCTCCAAGACTCATGAATTGGAAGAGATGCGGGGTGGCAATGCTTAATACCTAAGTCATATGTACTATGGTGTATCAGCCCTCACAAGTGTGCAAGGTATGTGGTGTGGACTTTGAGAGTATGTATCTACGATGTCGTATGCGAAACCACTACTTCCTATCCGAGTATCGGATGGAAAAATCAAACTTCTGGTTCTTTTCTCTTGCTTTAGATTGTTGTGAAAAAAGCTCAGGCCGCAGTCACAAATCATCATATGAGTGAAGTAGCTTGGGCAATTTAAGTCATGGTCTAGAGCTTCTTCTCTCAATCAGCAACTTAGTTGTCACCACTGTCTGAAATTTTCATCCTAAAATAACCCCTGCATCTCGTTTTCAGTCTACAACACGGAAGCAATGATCGGATAAACAGCTAACCCAGCCACAGCATGGAGTAGTATGCCCGCTATTTTGCTCTAACCCTCTTGAAAATTGCTGATCACATCTATTCTCTCAGATGAATATGACGCCAATCTCACAAAGAGATCATCAACAGCCAGCACATTTTGCACGCATAATTTCTTACGAAAGACTCCGCGTACCCAACTGTCTGTTATCTCGTCGGCAAGCTCTTCACATGCAACGATAACCCAGAAGCCTTGCATGTGCATGGCCGTGTACAAGAACCTGCTCTAGGTCGTCCCAAGGTGATTGAAAAGGGCGATCCTGATATCCCCGTCAGCGCTGGTCAATAGTCTTTATCTTGGATTCTCAGGATTTGCCACTGGCTTCTGGTTTGCCAATACCGTGCTCAATGGAACTGCTAGCTTGATGAGTGTATCCAAGGATAACAAAATTGAGAGAGAAGGCATCATGAAATAGATTGTCAATTTGCAGATTCCTGATTGATGGAACCATCTTCGGCCAATTGGCACAGATTTGGATTATGTTTCTATCATCAAGATCACTCCCAATACGCAAAATCACACACGCATTCGGTGCCTAAGATTCTGGGTCTGGAAGTCCAAAGTGATTTCGAGAATAAGGTTCTCTGCACGCAGCATTGGGAGGGCGCAATACCTTTTTGGGAAAACCTGGGACAGCCTATTTTGGGGAAAAATAATCTGCCAGAGAGGATGGCAAAAGTTTCCACGCAGTATATTCATGATTTTATCGAGGCGCAGAATGCAAAGAATGAGTATTTTGCTAGGCAAATAGCGGGCGCGGATTATCCTAGATATTGAAGGGTGGAAATTTGGGGAATTTCTTGAGCGTTTGTTAGTTCACTTACTTAAGCAAATCAAATTCGTATTCATGTCCAGTTTTGGAGACTTGAGTCAGGGTGAAGTTGCCAAAAGATCAGCTATCCTGTAGATGTTCCTGTGCGATATTCGAGTCATGACTAGACCTCACCCATCCAGTATCGTATTTCCAAGCTTGTCTGTGTACAATCAATCCATGAATCTTTCTATACCCCTTTCAAAAGATCTATAGACACTTCTTCCTTCATAAGATTTCGTCATGAGACCCCGATTTGCGGAGCCCTCATGTTGGGTGACAGCAATGCACTCTCCTGCGCATCTTCTGTAGATTCACCAACATGCAAGAATAATTTTACATGGCTAATTACTTATGAGACTGCATCAAACCGCATTCAAAGCACTCGCTCAAGCTGATCTGCAATAATAACTCCCTCTCATGTACACACATACATGACCATTCACATCCCCAGATTTCAGCTCGTCGTTGAACGCCCTAGTGTACTGAATTAGAACGGGTATCTGTACAACGGTATCACGATTGCGTAAGTTCCACAAGCATTCGATACGTCTACCGAGACTGCTATTCGATTGTGGAACGGGAACCCCGCGATTGTGAGGGTTAGATTGAGGACACGACATATGTGCTAGTTTGATTGGGTGTTACGCTACTGTGCTACGACGTGATGAGAGTGCATCTACATGTTGCAAGTGCGATGTGCGACATGTGATGAGTGATTCGTGAAGAGTTCCCCGCAATTCTGGAGGTAATACTTGGGAGATGTGTTGTCAGTGGAGTGGTACTCGGGTGGTGGGATAACGTTGAGGGGATTTGTACTCGCTGGAGCTGTTTTGTGGGATTGAAAGTAGCACTTCAGTGGTAGTCCTTTGGGGTAAAGAGATACATACATACAGGGGTGTGACTCTTGTGAGAGGATTGGCTGTGGAATGATGACAAGATTGTGTATATCGTTCATTAATAGTTCGGCCTAAGTATTATTGTCTTTTGCATTTGTGTTTTGCCCAAGTGTGGGTGTCGTTTTGAAGACTGAAAAGCTTGTTATTGGGGTTTGAGATTCCTATAGTGTGGTATATACTTTGCTCTTTTTTTCAGATATCTCATCTCTTACTAATAATTGTAGATTCATACTTTGCAGTTGACCATGGCTACCGATAAGTTGGAGCTTGTTTTCAAGAAGTATGTATTTGGATCTACGGGATAGGAACTCTCGAACCTGTTGCTAATCACTGAATACTTCGTGCTTAATATAGGATTGACGAGCTTGCTACTGCTACAGCTCCCAATTTCAACATTATCCATGATCGTGAGTCGAAAGAGAAAGTCTGCATATAATGAGATACCAGATATTCTAACTATAATCCAGGACTCGTACCCGCGATCAAAATCCCATCCATCTCTTCTGAGCGAACGGATGAGGGACGCAAACATGTAGTTGCTGTAAGTATATCTTCTCTTGCTACTTGGAGATCTTGCAAGCTTGTACTCTGACACGCATCAGATGACAGATTTTCTGGCAGATCAACTCACGAAGTTGAATGCATCTGTGGATCGCCACTCGTTGGGAAAAGAGCCGGAAACAGAACTTCAGTTGCCGGATGTTATTATTGCTAAATATCCAAAAGTGTATGAGAGTAAGAAGAAAACTATTTTGATCTATGGCCATTATGATGTTCAGCCTCCTGGAGAAGGGGTAAGTTAGATTTTTTTATTAAGTTCTCTATCTTCGACCTTCGATTTTTTTGGGCGATGCTTTATGAAACGACTATTCATGTTTACTGATAAAACTTCGACTCTTCACTTTCAATATCTCTTCACATCCTTCTTTGATGAATAGTACTGATCATCTAATCTTGAAGTGGGATACCGACCCCTGGACCATCACAGAAAAAGGCGAAGATCCCGACAAAAAACTCTACGGACGAGGAGCTACTGACGACAAAGGACCCGTGCTCGGCTGGCTCAACGCACTCCAAGCCTACCAGGAAGCCAAAGTCGATGTCCCCGTGAATCTCATATTCTGTTTCGAAGGCATGGAAGAATCTGGATCCACCGGATTCGCAGAATTTGCAATCGCTAACCGCGCGCTCTTCGAACATGTCGATGCTGCATGCATTTCTGACAATTATTGGCTTACGACCAAGAAACCATGTCTCACATATGGACTCCGCGGTATCAATTACTTTAACCTCACGGTGGAACACGCAGGCGTGCAACTCCATAGTGGAATGTTTGGAGGTTGCGTCTATGAACCCATGACGGATCTAGTGATTCTTCTTTCGAAACTTGTGGATTCTCAAGGCAGAATCTTGATTCCGGGGATTAATGAACTTGTTGATGATGTGTCTAAGGAAGAGGTGGAGGAATATGCTACGATAGAGTTTTCGACACAGGATTTTCAACAGACTATTGGTAGCGACGCGAATATTTACAACGATCCTAAGGAGACCCTCATGCATAGGTTTAGGTATCCGTCTCTCACCATCGTAAGTTCAACCATTTCTTCTATTTTGCACTTTTCCATTTCCAACACTCTCCACTATCTCAAATATTTCATCTACCGCAATTTTCAGCTTTTCTATACAATTTTTGTTTTTCAACTCCTTCCGTACTAGAAAATAACCAAAACCCCCAATTCTAGCACGGTATCGCAGGCGCAGATTCTAGCCCCGATCAAACCACCGCCATCTACCCCAAAGTAACCGCCAAATTTTCCATCCGCACCGTGCCATCCATGGATCAGAAAACCGTCTCCGATCTCACCATCAACTATCTCTACCAAGAGTTTGAAAAGCTTGGAAGCAAAAATACATGCACAGCGAAACAGTTTGGGGAAACAGCTCCATATTGGCTTGCTTCGCCTGATGATGCAAATTATAAGGCTGGAAAGGCGGCTACGCAGAAAGTTTATCACACTGAACCTGATTTGACGAGGGAGGGTGGAAGGTTAGTTTATACTATTTTTCTGGTTGTGGTATCTCGGATCTCTGTGTAGAATCTTTTGGCTAACGGTATAATGAATTCGTAGTATCGGAGTAACACTTGATTTACAGAAGGCATTGGGGGAAAAGAGTATCATGCTATTGCCAGTAGGGATGTCAGATGATGGAGCTCATGGTCCCAATGAAAAACTTAACAAGAGGAATTACATCGAGGGGAGCAAATTGCAGGGAGCTTATTGGTGGTATTTTGCTAATCCCCAGTCCTAGTTTGTTGTCAATCCGGACTTGGGATTTCTGTTAGTAAGGTGACGAATGTACACGGAAACTGTATCTCATATGACTATCTTGTGATGTGTATTAAAACATATGAATACCTGTGCAAGTTCATAATCGAAATCCTTTCACGGGTCCAGCGATTCAACCTTATGTAATGGTTCTCATCACAGTTATATTTTGGGCAAATATCCTTCGGAATATCATTTGGATCGAGTACAATGGCCTCAGCAACTTCATACAAGCTACTCATTTCGAGGATTCCAGCCACTTGGCTGATTTGCCAAGTATTTCTTGGTGTTCTGTTATTGTGCCCTCGCTCTCACTGTCAAGTGGTCCTTCACGGCTTTTCGATACAATAATTCCGGAATTTATCCGCATGTTAGCAGAATTTCCGTACTGCTGAGGTTCATTCAGCTAGAAGATGTAACAATCAACAAGAGGGGGAAAATAGCATATTACAGGATGCCATAATGCAGATTGATCAGTCGGCAGCAAAGAATCTGCACACTGAAGATCTTAGGGTCGCTCCTTCCTATTCTATTATTTGAATGCTTACCGTTTTGGTATGAAATTCCGGACAAGTAAGTACTTTAATTGCCAGCGTACCTATTATTACTACATCATCTGCTCCTGAGCCATTATTGATATCGAGTCAATGACATAAGGCACATCGACGAGGCAGGAGGAGAAGTCACCTCGGCCATTCGTTCTTGACAAGATAAGTGCAACCAACAAGGCAACGAAATCACACTTTGAATGCGTATTGTGAATAATGATATCATCAAGATATGAGTTGCAGCTGTTCATACAGCTTTTTGGTGGTTTTTACTGTCATCGTACTTATGTTAGTAGTTTTCTTGGCGGGATATCTCTCAGGATCCTTGACGGCGCTCTTATTGAAACATTGCCTGAGTGTCGACGACAAGTGCTCTTGGAATCTGAAGTCGTTCAATAGCTATGATCAATTCGATCCCGGGGTTTATCACAATCAACAAGCTTACTGAAACCATTCCTGTTGAGGATTCATCGTGAAGCAGGACGTTGGACATTCCGGACCAGCAGACTAGATATAAGCCCCCAATGTTTGGCAACTTTACAATTGTTCAAAACAGATCCAGCATTCCAAACCATTACAACTATTGAATGTATTCAACAATTGAAAGTTTCTGACTGTCGAACTGAAACTTGGAATAAGATTGCCAGAGAACCTGACTGGAAGAACCTGACCCTTGTATTCTATCCCGCTGTGAACACTACTACCGTGTTCCCAAGGAATTGATTTTAACGACAGGCCACTTTTCCTTTGGAAACAAACGCTCATGTTGATATAATTAGATACATATGACATTGTAATGCGTCTACCAAAGTCAGTATGCAAGATTAGTAATCGACATTCTTTTTTTCCCACCCACTGGTGACCTTAACTTATACATATCAGATCAATCACTCTGTTGTCATACTACAATCACATTTCATCTATGCTACTCATTCATTCATTAGCTCGTGTTACGTCAATCTTATTTTCAAATTCCATATTCCATCCAACCTGATTATTTCTTCTTCTCGTCTTTCCTGCACAATGTGAAGAATTCAGGTATGACAAGGGCGGTGTGAAGTGGTTAGGATCAACCTACGCATCTGATCGTGCTGTCAGAATTTATGCAACTCCGAAGCTAGAAAGCATATACCACAAGATGGTAAGCTACAACAGGACTAACCTGTTTTTCGCAGCAGCTGAGCTGTATACTTTCTGGTCACTCGAGTGGGTGAAAGGATTCATCTTCAGTTTTAGGGTTCAACTAGTTGAATGCCAGTGGTTTAGTTGAAACTTAATACTTGATTCTATTTTACGACGAAAGATGAGTTTTATAGCAAAAGAAATATAGCCTTTAATTAAAAAAAAAGTATGTATAATCTAAAGATAAATTGTTCTTTTACATTTTTTCGAATACGTCAAGGGTCCTGCTGTGAGAGTTGAAGTCTTACACTACCCTACTCGAATATCCACCAAAAACTTCAGGAACATTCCCACAGTCTCTCATTACCAATGGATTGCTTTAATGGAAAAGTCTTGCCATCAGTAGTCTTAACACCAGAGATGGTTCCATCTAATGGAACGACTTTGACACCGGAGATGGGTTCTTCCAACCAAACAGGTGTAACTGTCGAATATCAAGGACCAAAGATGGATTGCTTCAACCGGATGGTCTTGTCGCATTGGGAAGCCTTCTCAGGTGCAATTGAAGATGAAGTTTCTGGACTCGAGCCAATAAGAGCCGATGGCTCTAGTTTGAACCTAGCGACCCTGGTGGCCATTGCGAGGTAACTGTCAGTTCTGACCGCTACTTGTAAGAAAGTTGATACTGACGCAAGGCTTGAAGATACCGTCGCAAAATTTCACTTAGCGAAGGAGCAACCGGCAAGATGAAGAAAAGTGCAGAGGCTTTGCAAAAACGGATTCAAGACGGCGAGTCAATTTATGGTGAGTTCATGTGCTTTTGAGCAAACGTAAAAGCACCATCACGCAAGCTCATACATTGGAAGGTGTAAACACTGGTTTTGGTGGAAGCGCCGATGTTCGACCAAAGAACGTCTCCGAAGTATCTGCAAGCTTATTTCGAATGCTCCATTACGGAGTTGTCTCTGGTCCTCTAGACAGTCGTCATGTTGAAGGGTTAGCAACAAACAATTTAGTGAGCGACATTGAATCGAGGGCATCTACAGTTATGAAACTGGCAACGCTGGCTATTCCTTTGTCTGATCCCGTTTGCTCAACCACAATGCCAGAGAGCTGGGTTCGTGGAGCAATGGCCATTCGCGCCAATACGCTTGCCAAGGGAGCCTCTGCAATTCGACCAGTCATTGTTCAATCTTTGTTTGATCTTTTAAATAAGGAAATTATTCCAGCGGTGCCACTTAGGGGAAGCATATCTGCTTCCGGTGACCTTAGTCCGTTGTCATACATTGGTGGAGCATTGGAAGGAAAGCCGGCAATTCAGGTTTATGTTGGTTTTGATCGAAACCGTGTTTCAGCAGACAAAGCATTATTGCAGGCTGACATCCCCCCCGCAGTCTTCCAACCTAAAGAGGGATTGTCGTTGGTCAATGGAACAGCAGTAACAACAGCCGTTGCATCTCTAGCCATGCATGAAGCCATTATGCAAACTCTGCTTTCACAAATCCTTACTGCTATGTCTGTTGAAGCGCTTTCTGGTACGGACGAGAGCTTTAATCCTTTTTTTGCTGAGGTTAGACCCCATAGAGGTCAAACGGTATCGGCAAAAAACATCTACTCATTCTTGGCTGGCTCCAAGTTGACAAAGGGAAATGATACCCAAGAGTTTCATCTACGTCAAGATCGATATTCTATTAGAACTGCATCACAGTGGATTGGCCCATCACTAGAAGACCTTTTGCTATCCTATGAGCAAGTATCAATTGAATTAAACTCAACCACTGATAATCCCCTTGTTAGTGATGACGGAAAGATGCATCATCGTGGGAATTTCCAAGCGAAGTCCATCACAAGTGCCGTGGAGAAGATCCGACAAGCCTGCCAATCAATTGGTCAAATGTTATTTGCACAATGCACCGAGTTGATAAATCCAGCAACAAACAACGGCCTCCCTCCTAATCTGGTAGCAGATGAGCCAAGCGAATCCTGGATGTTTAAAGGTATTGATATTATGATTGCGGCACTGCAATCTGAGCTTGGTTTCCTGTCTAACCCCGTTGGATCACATGTTCAGACTGCTGAAATGGGGAATCAAGCTTTAAATTCTCTAGGACTGATCTCGAGTAGATACACGCTATCGGCCTTGGAAGTTTTGACACAGCTTTCCGCGGCGTATTTAGTGACCGTATGCCAAGCTTTAGATCTTAGAGGAATACAGTATTTATTCTTCATGAATTTGAGGCCTCAGTTTGAGAACTCTTTCAATCAGAGCCTTGGAGAATATACTCGGGAAAGCCATGGTCAATGGGACGATGCCATGGAGACGAAGGAACCTTCCGAATTACAACTGCTCCTCTGGGATAGACTGACAACAATTCTGAACTGGAGCTCAATAATGGACTCGACCACGCGCTTTGAACATGCACTTCAATCGCTTCAGGCAGTCATTCTCGACAAGTTGGAGCCCAGTCTAGATATGTTGCAAGCTTTGAAAGACTGGACGAAAGTATCCTCGAAGCAAATGATTGACACTCACAAAGTGTCAAGGAGACAATATTCTGAATCCATCGGGGTTGCCAAGTTCTTTTTGGGCAAAGCTGGTGAGCGGATGTATTGTTATGTACGCAATGAGCTTCATATACCTTTCGTTGACGAGGAATACCTCAAGTCTTCGGAATGGTTATCCGATAAGCCTAACTCGTATCAATCCATCGGCAGTATGGTAACGGCGGTATATGAGAGCATGAGATCGGGTGAGCTATATTCAATTGCTATCGAGTGCTTGAAAGATGTAGAAGGAGGAAGAAATAATAAATCGAATGTATAAAGTAGTGTACGGACATTGTATCCTTAGTAGATAATGGGCATTCAGAATAAGAAAGGTTGTAAATCATAGGCACTCAAGAGTCGTGAGAATCACAGTGTTGTTGACGTGTAATAAATCCTTCAAGAATAAAATATTTGGTGGGTAATTACATGTAAACCCACTTGGACAATGATGAGCTTACCTACGGATGGAAGTCAGCCACATCTTACCACGACACTCAAAACGTGACTGGCTGATTCCTTCAGATGCACTACCAGCGTGAATGAACCCACCTTATACGGTTTCATTCGGAATTCCACTTTAGAATTCTGGCATATATCAAAACAAATATGAATATCCCCTCAGCTTCTACACCAATTGAGGATGCTGTTAACATGGGGTTGAAATCTGAAGAAATTCCGAAAGCTGATGAGACTGGCAATGATGGAACCAGTAATACTTGGGTATCGTGGACTCCTGGAAGTGAGAGTGTCAAAGAATCTTTGAAATCATTTCATAGGAAGACCAAGACTGGGTGCATAAGATGTAGAATAAGAAGAGTGAAAGTAGGTGGTGTATTTCCTTCGGCACGTGATGCTGTTTGTGCTACCTGGGACGATCTTTGAAAGTTGAGGAATGCACAATCTGAGTTCTCAGTGAGCCCAAACTTCAAGTGAAGAGCTTACGGGGCTAGCAATGTTCTTCTTGACCCCTCAGGCCAATTCTGACCATCGGTTTAGTGCGATGAATGTCGACCAAGTTGCCTCAATTGTAAACGGCATGGAGTGGAATGCAAGTACGAATCGACTACATCCAGAAAAATTCCAGAGAAACCCAATACAGAAAATGTCACTGCCAAAGAACTACGGACTAAATTTCCCGAGACTGGCGAAAGACGTCTACGAGAACTTACCCTGCTTCATCATTACACAACCAGCACGAGCCGAACAGTAACATTTACTAATTCAGCCAATCCTGACCAGACTTCTATCGACATATTCACACAAATTGTTCCTGAATTCGCTCTAACAAACGAAGCACTCCTATACTCTATCTACTGTATATCCTCCCTTCACCTGAATGACCAAACAACCTCATCCAGCACCGAACCATACACCCACACCCCCACTACCTCTCTAATAGACGCCTACACCTACCTCGACATAACTCTCCAACTCCACCGTCAAGACACCCACCACCTCACCCCCCAAAACGCCGACGCCATCTGTCTAACCTCCAGCAATCTCCGCATCTGCGCCTTCGCCTTGCTTCAAAAGCGTTCTCTATCCCCCTATAGTCCCCCCTCCGACTGGATAAAAATTACCCGCAGCGCATCGATGGCTTTCAAAACCGCGTGTCAGTGCATCTCATCCCAAGATCTCGACGCAAACGACGAAGCGCAGAAGAAAAGCGTTGCATGGATATTTGTGAAACGCATGCCGGTTTTGGCGCACCCTGTGGAAATGTTCAATCAGGAAAATGCGGAGAAATTCATCCATTTATTGAGAAGAAGGGATGCAGATTTGGAACATGAGGAGTGGAGTGAAGAAATTGAAAAGGCGTATATGTCTACGATTTGTTTTCTGGGATATGTGTATAAACGTGTTGAAGCGAAAGCGAATCCAGCGGTAATTACACGATTATTGATCGGGTTTCCATTTTTTATCGAGCAGCGGTTTGGGGAGTTGATCGAAGAGGGGAAAGATAGAGCGTTGGTTTTGTTGGGGATTGTGTTTGCGCTGTTTGTGAGAATTAGGAAGATTTGGTGGATTGGGGGGTGTGGGGAGAGAGAGGCCAGGGGAATATTGGGGGTGTTGGGGGATGAATGGCGGGATGTGAAGGAGGAGATTAGGGATTTGGTTAGAGAGGGTGAGATGAATGTATACGAGTTTATATGAATGCGATAATTCAAAAAAACAATATTTTAAAACGTGTCTTGAGGTATTTTAACGTGTCAATGACAGAGGGTAGATAAATGGGGTGATAGAACTCTAAATCAAGCTTCGTTATATCGTTGTAGTCTACATTCCTTGAAAAATACAATCGACTTGTCGTAGCAAAAACTCCCTTCTCTGAGCCAATTTTTGAATCGTACAAACAAACTTGAGTGTATTCCGCAATGCTTAACATGTGTAGATGTATCAGAAAGCGAAGAACCCTTTATGATCGATGCTCGTTTAGATATCTTCTCATCCTCAGCACCAAAAATGACAGTGGCGGATGCTTTGGGTCATTTTAAAGGAAAGATTGCAAAGTGAACCGAGAGCGATAGCATTAAACTCTATGTCAACTACTTCTTCTATCAACTTTTGGTACCCCGAGCGTTGAGCATCAAACTTCCGAGACTTTTGTTAAGGTTGTCTTTGACAACTTCTTTGCGATATCCTTGAACCAAGGTTCCTCCTATAATGTGAACAAATTATGAACTTGGATCAAGGTTGTGGGGAAAAAAAAGACTAAAAATTCTTCGTTCCATGTGGTCTATCTTGTATCTGAACGGCGGCGAAGATAGATATGATGTAGACTCTTCGTGAGAAGGTTTGATGCTGCGAAAAAGAGTTCAATCTGCATTTTGCAAGGTTATGGAGGAAAACCTCGGAGAAACAGATGCTTCCAGAGTCGTCTGTATCGAAAAATGATATGAAAAGGGGTTTATCCGAATCAAAGGTAATATTACGTAGGTGGAAAATGTCAAATCCTAAACGAGCATGTAAGGTAGAAATTGTGGAGGGAAAATGTTACTTTTCAATAAAAGGACAGCTTATCGGATGGGTTCAGCTGAAGTAGATCCGGGTGATTTTCGGGAATTGTCGACGAATTACTAACCTGCAGCATCTCGAGACGAAAGAGATATCGCTAGGAAGTACAGAGTGCATACTCCGATTTTGATCGACGTTCATTTTGTTGCAGTAGGGTGATGACCTTGTTGAGATTTGGACTATAGACACAATTTTCACGCGAAATGTAATCTCATCTCTGATCTAACCTCACATCCCTACAACGTTCAATAACAGCAATCACTGTTCTTCACGAATCTAGAATGAAAATGAAAACATGTATTTTCAGAACCAACTCCTCCGGTCCGCCGTTCACTCCACTCATCGACTTGACATCTTCCCATCTAGACCAGCCTTACTTTCGAGACACATTCTATGCAACGCAACGCGTTAGCGATCGACCGCACACTCGATCTTCACTGCCTCCACGCCCAACGGAGCCTTCTCCCACGCAACAGCGAGTACCGAGATTGCCGACGTGGATACGCGATCGGCACAAGGAATCCGATTCCAGCCAAACGCATCACATGACTGTACGATAACAGCTTAGTTCTCGCACGCCTTGCGCGCAAGGCGAACACAAAAACTGCCAACGAGGCCTTGATGGGCAGGGAATCCCTAGCCCGGACAAGCCTAACGCCACTCGGATATTTTGTGCGAAGAGGCATGGGACGAATCAAAAGAGGAGAGGAAAGATCATGCACGATAATAAAGACACAATGGTTTGGGTCTCTGGATTATCGGGATAAGTGATGGAATCCTGGATCTAGATTTTTTGATCAACTTCCTTGGAATATACCTAGATTGTTCGGCGGATGGAGAATCATTCGCGAGGAAGTTGTCTCTGCGAATCATTCTTTGGGTAGGGCTACAGCGGGGATTTGTCAGGAGGAGTAGGGATTATCGTATCGACATGTGACCGTGGCTGGGTTTGGATTTTCTTTTCCCTGGGGACCTTCTATTTTCGTATTCCAGCTTGTGTTCCAATGTTCGGATTGGTGGTATTCAGACCCTGGATTCCAATAAATGATGCGTTTATTATGATTGGGGTTGATTGCTATAGGTGCACATCGTCATGATGGGTCCACGCCTTGATATTTGATGGTAATTGAAGTGGTTTATGGTGAAGGGTAGGTTGGTGTGGAGACTGGTTTCAATGGCAGCTGGGTGGAGATGAAGATATATATATAGAGGGTAGGTACTCGGTCGGTGAAGAAGAAGTTTTTTTTTAGAATATATGAAAACGATTGAGTTTATTATTTAATTGATTAATATAACTAGCTATATCCTCGAGAGAGATATTTATTTACGATTGTGTTTAATATTCTATTTATTTACAAGATATATCTTCAAATACCTACGCAAACAAACAGACATAGAAAAAAGACAAAATAAGAAGATAAAATGTGTTTATTCGGAAGTAAGATTTTCTCTTTCATTCAATCCCAAGTTGATACATTTCGTTCCAACCAGAATTCTTACTTCATTTTCTCCCAAAACTTCCATGCTAACATAGCTCCCCTTCATAGTCCCTAAAGACGAAGATATAGTCTTTGTTGATCGCCGGGCTCCCCGCCGTAAATCCACTCAAATAGTCCGCGAAAGACGTTCCCACTCATCTCGCCCCGTATCCCGCGTCTCAGAAACGGTCATCAGACAACACAGCCACCGACCTTCTACACCCATGTCCGAAGTTCACCGGCATTCAACCTCAATGACCGAGATTCACCGCGGTCCACCCAGCCATCGCCATTCTAGCTCCATGACGGAAATCCACCGTTCTCACACTCCTGTTCCGCCGACCCCAAAGCCAGCTACTCCTGTTCCCCCTCCGGCGTCCGTTGCTGCTCCACCACCTCCACCACCCCCGCCAGCGTCGGTAGGATTTCCCCCAGGATATGCCCCAGGATATCCTCCGCCTCCTATATCGGTTGCGCCGCCCCCTTCACATCATCACCATATACCCCCGCCCTCACCATCTATTGTGCCCCAAAGTCCAGCGCCTTCATACCGCGATCTCTCACCTCCCCGCGTGCCCACTCCACCGGAAGAAAGCAGAGTCGAATTAATAAAAGTGGAAGAAGAACACTGGCCGCCGCATTCCCACGGGCGATCCAGTCCGAGCGCAATCCATGTTTCCAGGAGGAAGAGTAGGAAAGGGAGTGATTCCAGCGGAAGAGATAGAGATAGAGATAGGAGTGAAAGAGAGGAAATTTATATCCAAAGAGATCGTATTATTGAGCGTGGTACCCCATCTCGACATGCATCTTCGAGTCCGAGCTCGTTTGCAAGGAGAGGAAGTAGAGGGAGCGGTACCCCCGAACCAGTCCAAAGTGGTTACCGTACGGTAGAGGGAACGGGCTGGGATGATAGAAGACCTATTACGCCGAGTGGATATAGAGTTGTGGATGGTGCGGGAGCGAGGAGAGGAAGCGGAGTCGGAGTAGTGAATGTTCATCGAGAGAGAGAGAGGGAGAGAGAAAAAGTATCACCCTCGGAGTTTGGTGGGAGGAGGGGTAGTATTCCCTACGATAATGGATCGATTGGGAGGCCGCGAAGTTCGGCGGGAAGATTTGTGGAGAGGGAGAGAGAGAGAGGGTGGTAATGGATGAGGGAGGGAGAAGAAGGGACATATATAGAAGGGCTTGAGGGGATGGGATGTACTTCTGTGGTGAGGCCTGATATTATGTAATTATCTTATTTGATCGGCTTCCTGGTTTCTTAATGGTGCGGCGATGGGATGAAGAAGGTTGGGATATTCTTCAATGCTATTTTATACTGTTTAGATTGTACGCATATACTGCGCGAGCGGGCGGGTCAAATTCTATTAAAAATTTTCCAATCTTTCTTATTCCTCTATATATATCCATATGTATGAAGATGTTCGATACCAAAGTATTGAATGTCTCATGTATCTCCGTATTTCATGAATATTAATGCGAGCTCATCTGTAACACATCTTTTCTCATACGCTAGTGCCACACATGAGTAAATATTGAGCCTGGTAGCACAAGCCCTTGTAAGTATAAGATGAAAGGGACTCGAATTTTCTGAGGTGCCGCGAAAAGGTATAGTAGTACCTACCTATGCATATCCTGCTTTGTCAATTCCCGACCCCTTCTCTCTGTCCGCCTCTCTTGTCAAGTAACGTGAGATCTAAATCCTTTTCGCAGATGTGGAAGCAGAAATGTTAATTTAGTAATGAGATTTGATGATTGTTTTCCACATTCACTTCATATTTGTGGAGATTGAAAGCCTCAACTTGATTGTAGTGTATTCGACGATCAACATCCAACACTTTTGATTTTGAAATACTTCGCTATTCGCACCTCAGCCTCATACTCATCATTGAAAAATCATTTCTCTCCCCTCCCAAACGGAATCAGCGTTCAAATACCCATTCTTCAAGCTATCAAGTAACGCAACATGTTTTGACTGAATGAGCCTGCTTAAAGTGCAGGAGAGTGGCGCTGAATTGTGATGGTGATAGCAAGGACGTGGCTGCCATGAACCTGGACTATTGCAGTGATAACCATTCTTTCGAGGAAACGAATGAACCTGGACATCAAAAGATGAATTCCTGCTCTCAACTTCTCCACATGATGCTTAAGCATCGTCGTTCGCATTCTTGATTGGAGTCAATTCAGCGAAAAAGTCATGACTCTGCGCTCTGCTGCTATGCGTCTGCTCCTCGGCTACCTGTGTAGGTTTTTCACATTCCTCTCCTTTACCATGACGATGAAATTTGCAATTTTTGAATATCCGTATACTTCCATCATCGTTCGATGAAACTGATGGCTCACCAGGAATCGGAGGTGTCTCGTCCTGACTGAAATCCTGCTAGTATGCAAAAAATTCACAGAAGAAGTCGTGGTGATTCCTGCAGATTTTCCAAATCTGTGATAGTGTATCTTTGTTAGGAGTGATGTTGAATTTATCACCTTCCCAATAATCCCAGACTAATTGCTCAATGCAAAGTCTTCGAAACGGCGATTTTTCTCCAGTCTCGTTCCAAATATGGTTAACCACATCCGGATGTAGATAGCAGTACTCAAATTGGAGATCTCCAGCAAACCAAAGTAAGCTTGTTATATTATCAATGACGGTATTTCCCAACTCGTAAAGGCACCATTTTTCCGTCAACAAGTAAAGCTTGATGAGAGTATTGAAATGTGCGTGGGTTCTACCGGAGTAGATTTTGCCTCGATATAACCATTCAACGAACAATCCCATGGCATCTGCGCTGTCCTCTATCAAGTAAATGATTCCTTCCCCAGCTTCTTTAAATGGTCCACAGAAAGCTTTTCGGAAATAATCGCATGAGTCGCATATGAGCTTCTTGTGTACTGCAAATTCTTTTCTTCTGGGTCCTACAATAAGTTTGACAAATTCAGTGCCGAGAGTACTAGGATGATACTGTCAGTAACTCTAAGTTCCTATCATCTTGGGAAAAAATGGCTCACGCTTCGAAAGCAGGACTTTTAACGGGTACTGAAGTACCTGCCAAAGTCGTAGAGGCCATGTTTCTGCGCTTTGCATGTAATATTGTCCCAAATCTGCAACTAGCTGTCAGTGATCGCATCAGTCATAGAAGAATCTTGTTTTATTCATGCTTACAATATGGTAGACCGGAAGGGATTTCTTACTCCCTTTCGACTTGATAACGAGATTGGAAAGAAATTTAGGTTATATAAAACTCTATGCGCCGACAATCTTATCAGAAGAGTTTCTGTAATGGGCGATTGACGAGTTGATTGTTCAATTCACGTTTGTTTGGTGATTGAAAAAGAAAAGTGAACGTGAGGTTAAGACCAGAGTGAATTTGGAAGTTCACTCATCTTCGCTTATGTTTGAACGAAATGCTTCAATTTTCTCGCATCAATACTGAGAGAGAGCTGGAGCTTGGAATGATCTTCTCTAAGAGTTACCTGGTAGTTATTCAATCATATCACCAGAGTCAACTAGATACAGATACTTCTTTCTTTCGAGGTTGGAAAATATATTTATATACATTATTGTTCACTCATTCAGAAATATTATCCGCAATCTGAAATGTTATAAATACATTTGCCTAGGCCTCCGTACTCTTATTTTCTGCATTTTCCGCCCAATTTGTAACCGGAACCCACATTATCTCGATCTTCTTCTTTTCCAATACTTGGATCTATTGTGATAAGAAACGGTCGTAAACTTCCATAGTTGAAAATGCTATTAATGACCGCCTTCCCTACCATTCCAAGCCTGTTCAACTTTAGGCTTCCTGATGACAAACCCAGCTATATCCAGTACAGTAGATGTGTCAACAAAATATCTTACCTCTTCACAGTTTGCTTGACTAACACGATGATCGTGAAAGTCACAACGGTCCCGATCTCTTTTCTCATGCCAAGAGGTACTGTATTTATGTTGGAAATCGCAAGGCTTGGTGAGGTCAAAGTCGGCTTGGATATCTTCGGCGATGTAACCAGGCACGTCGACAATAGATTGCAGTCTGTTGACAATAAGGGACCCAATCACGTTGCCGTTCCTTGGGTCATCCAGATCTTCGCGAAACTCCCAGGCTAAGCATTGGATGCAGAGTTTTCTCAAAGACGAATTTGGTAGCGAGAGTTGCCAAATGTCAGAGATATCTTCATCAGAAAGTTTCCATGCATTTCGGTGTTCGAAGGGGATGTTCGATCCTCTGAGAGCTAAGATGATGTCGGAAACATCGTTTGCAAGCTGTTCACAACACCATTTGTCTGCGCTGATACGGAGCTTCCAGAAACTTCTAAATGTCTGGCTGGTGAAGTCGAGGGTTACTTTGGACTTTTGAAGCCATCCAACCAATAATCTAATGGCTTCGGGTTTCTCTTCTTCCAGATACATTTCCTTTTCTATACCCTCTCTAAAACTACCACCGAGAAAGGCGATCCTGAAGTATTCAATAGAGTCGACGAGAAGGGCTTGAGAGATTGCGAATACTTCTTTCTCTGGACCGACGACTAATACTACTGGGTCAGAACATTTCCTAATTGGTTTCATTAGCATACTCAAGGAAGCGTAAAACTTGGATTATAGCCCGGATATGAAAGATATTCTATAGGTCGATGGTAAGGAAGAATCAAGCTTACTGTCTGGAAGTCAGAATCTTGAATTCTTCTTCTTGTGGAGACATTTTTGACTAGCTTAGAATATCTAAGTCTGGGTTGTGTTGCTTAGAATGATGAGATAGAATTATGTCGTATAATGGTATCGATGTGGATAAAGATCTAAATATACCCAAGCTGAGTAAAGGCAATAAGATGTATCTTTATGTATATATGTCTAACAGTTTGTAATGTAAAATAGAACTTTGGCCAGGAGGGTGAGGAATGAATATATACTCCAGCAATAAGACTAAGTATTCGTGTGAAATTTTCAAACTAGTAAGTATAGGGCCTTGGATCTGACTAGTAAATAGCTAAATATCATGGGGAGAATAACATTCGAAAGTATGACTACATTTGTGACAGAAGAATGCTTTGGAAAGAACATGTATGGTGGCTTTGAGGTGTGTAACCGCCGATGAAGTTGGAGTTTTTGGACGCTAGTATCTTTAGTATGGAATAGTCAAGACTTAGTTTGGTCATTAAGGAGAACGACATCACTGATTTTTACTTAGCTCTGCTACTTGGATCTGATAACCTTATCACGTGAACATTTATATTGATAGTGTGAGAATCTCTGTTCATTCGCGATTTACAAAGTTTCAGTAGTCAAAATGCTTATTCAACTCTCACTGCTTGAAGCATAACATTCGGGTGGAGCGGTGGAATTGGTGAACCAAGCGAGTAAGATAAGTTGGCTTGGCGTAAAATATGATGAAGAGCGTTCGAGCCACTCTGCTTTTGGACTGGCCCATGAGGATATCGGGCTTTGGAAATTGATACATACAAATGTTACTCTTACCGTTGGAAAGACGTCAGGAGCCGTGTTAAAGGAAAGTGATGGCATCAGTAAAACCTTTAAACTCATAATTTAACATGTCTATAGATCGTTTACATTGAGCTTGCATATAATAGGAAGAACATCTCGAGTATGTGAAATATACATGTCACTCTGTTCTAACTTCGATGAAATGGAAGCTATAGCTAAGTAATGAGACACTTGTATTCCCATAGCTCATCAAAGGTGCTGGCTTCTGTTATCTGCTTGAATATCTAAGCAGCCAAACAAAATCATCATGTCAATTTGAGACCATAATCACTTTTGATATTACTGTAAACTCTTGAAGTATATTATTAGAAGCTCAAGTAACTGACTATCGATGATGGGGGCGAATCTCCATATGTATCTGCAACTCTCGTCGTCTGTTAGTTGCGAGCAACCTATTTTATCTAGAAGCCACTGTAATGTTTCTACAATTAATCATAATTTTCTTGCTTCTAGCCATTGAAAGTGCTGTAGGAACATCCACCTCAAATGTTTCACTTTACTGAAGCCATACAGATGCACTTTCAAAGAAATCTGGCCCTCGAGACATTTCTAGTCCTTGTCCTCGTTCCCCAGCTTCTCAATAAGATTGAACTATGGTGTCATAAAATGGCAGACTTCTCCTTCCGAATGTCGGTGATAAGCACAAGGCCTCCAATTGCTGAAATGATATGCGCATGGTGGTGGATTGTCTGCTGCGTATTTATGTACTTGAGCAAAGAAACTCGCATAAAGATCTTCGTGGTCTTTAAAAAGCTGTCACAGAGAGATTATCTTTTCAGTATCCAGCGGAAATGTCTTTTTCTCGTCTGTACTGATTCCCTCATTCTCCCAACCCCAAACATTGTAGACAAGTATAAGAATGAGCCATTTGCGTACGGGCGATGTAGAAGACGTGTTTCTCCAGACGCCGTCCATTTGCTCTAGACTACATTGAGTGAATTCATTAAAGTCATCGCTTATCGCCTGTATTGCATCCATAGTCTTATTCGCCAATCCGTTCAGGCACAGCTTCTCAGCAAAGATGTAAAGCTGGAGAAATTGGTCGATATCCGTAAGTTCTGTTGCCCTCCTTACTTCTCCGCGATACAGCCAATGAATAAACAGCTCGAAAGCTTCGGGATCATCCTCTGGCATATCCATACTAGAAGTCTGGCTCTCTCTAAATCCACCTGCTGAGAAAGCTGCGCGAAAATATTCCACAGACTCGCATAGGAGCTGCTTATGGAGAGTGAACTTTTGCTTCTCCTTGGCTATAGTTATTGTAACTAGCTCATTGCCCAGAGCCTTGAAGTGTGTTAGTGAGGAGATCTAATGAAGATATCTGGTTGATCTTACTTTCCGAGGTTGATATCTGTCATGGAAGTCATATCAATCAGAGATGTGCCAGAGTCCAGGTTACAAGAAGCTTGAATAATGATTAATGATGACGCTTGAAATTCAGGAAAGAAGAAATTACCTATTTCAATGTGACTTAGGTTCTTGAACCATCGGAGCCTACGCTGGCGGGTTGGGAGCTGGCAAAGTTGTGGTGACAGGAAAACTTCGAGGCAAACAAATTTCTTCTCAAGATGAAAGTCGCGAAGCTCAGCCTCGTCCTCCAAATAAATTGGCAGTCGATTCACTTTCGAAATGATAATAATTTTTTCAATCAACGAAAGAATTTAGGACATCGAACTTCCGCTTAAAGTTTCCAAATTTTTCCAAATTTTCTCTTTCCTTTCATCCTGTTCCTTTCTCTCTTCCCCTTCCTCTTCCCCACCAACCTTTAATTGTTGTTCACACAGCAATACCCAGATATTTCATCAGAGCAACCATTGATTCTCGAACGGGTGATCAAGTCGTATCAACAGATAGATTCCCACGAAGATCGGTTTCAAATCCAATTGTATCTACTGCATTCTGCCGCCACGATGGGTAATGCAAGTGTTCCCTCCACCTTGAGCAATATATTGAGCGACTCTAACATGGCTGATCAACTTAATGAATACGCAATAGAAGCTACCAAGCAGTGGAACGCATCTGCAGGTAACGGTCTGCCCAAGAAACCCCAAAGCGCCAGTCAAAGCAATAGATCCGCCGTGCAATCGAAGTCAACAGCATTGATGAAGCTTGAGCCAGACGTCTTATTCACAGAGTCAGTATAAACCATTTTGATTCTTCCCTCTTCCCCCGCTCTTTGCCCTCAGTCTAACTTTTCGCGTGTAGCACAATGGGAATGGAAACAATCTTGTTGAAGGTTGGACCATCTGATGATATACACGGTACCATGGTCTTTTCCATCCACAAGAACTTGTTGATCGCCTCTTCCCGTCGATTCAAAAAGATGTTGAGAGACTCTGGACCTTTGGATCGTAATCAAATGTATTCTATCCACGACACAAGTCCCGCTGTTTTCAAATACTTCAATGAGTATCTTTACACTCGTCGCATCCCAGCTGTTAGTCGCCGCATGTCTAAAGCTGAGCAAGGAACTCGAGTTTTGGAGCTTTGTCAACTCTATGTCTTTGCGGAGATGTTTGAGATGGACAACAGTTTTCTCAACAAGACAATTGATACAATTCAAGATAGTCTTGCTGTTAGTTCAACCCTTTTGACATTTACTTTGGTGAAAAACATTCTTGAACACTCTCAGCCAGAGTCTCCACTTCGCAAGTTCTGTGCCGCAAATGCTCTCTATTCTGCCATGGTCCCATGTCTCGACACGACTGGATTCCAGTGGTTAATTAAGAATAGTGATGATTTCTTTACTGAATTCATGAAAATGCTCGTTAAGCTCTCTAAGGGCACCGATCCTCGTATTCGCGACGCCAAGCAAGAATATGCGAAGGAGGCCAAGATAAAGGAAGAAGAATTGGAGAATGGAGGGGTTGCTGTTGATGGTAGTGCTGTTGTTGTTCCTGTTGTTGGTTCAGGTGTTCATCCATGCCAATTCCACATTCATGGTCAACCAGGGTCTGGTTCAGGAGCCGCTAATGATGCTGAAGATGACGAGATCTGCTACTTATTGGCTGATCTAGAAGCTTAGACAAAGCAAAGACGACTGGATATTGTCATGAGCACGCATTGAGGGTTCTCATGTTAATACATGGCGTTTCTGGAGTCGAAGGCGGTTGGGAAGGAGCAAATGACGACGTACAAAAGTAAAGCGGCGCTAGTGAATCTTTAATATTTCAAGGGAACTACAAGAATCAAAGGGAGCTACAGGAATTAAAGGTAGCAGTAAGTTATCGGGAACACATCTGCTTTTTCCTTACATTTCATTGCATACAATGCTGAGGAAGCTATGAATGGACGAGTGGCCTGATCATCTTCTTGTTTTCATAACGTGAAATTTGAAGGCCAAAGTGGACACAGAGGTGCGTGATTTTCAATGGCATGCAAGTAAATTCCAATATTGATTTCATTATTCTCGGAATTACAAGACTTTTAATAGATGACATGAAGAGTACGAAAATCACCCAGTCCCTGTATTTGGTCTATAAATTTATGCAAATTCTCCTTTATATCGCTCAATATGCCTAACCTTTTCCAAATGCATGATACGCCAAAACTATGTTCTCTTCAGGCTGATCCGAATCACTTTTTCCAGCCCTCATCTACTAGAAACTTATCAGTAGGCCGCACTTCCCAATTTCTTCAGGGTCATCATGTTCATGAAATTCGCAGCCGTGATCTCCAAATCTGCTACCTATGATAGTGGGATCGAATTTTACCTCTGATGCCCATTTCATACCAACAAACTCATAGTCTGGGCAGAATTCGTCTAAATCTATTCTTTCACCATCAGAAGCTGCCCAGAATGCGTAGGTGAACCACACCATATCGTTTGGACTACGATAACTCTGCTCGGTACGTTTCTCAGTTTCGTTTTTCATTGAGAAGAGAGCATAGAGACGTAAGGGACTGAATCGTTTCGTATTCGCGTAGATTTCCTGGATCGTTCTGGGGGAGATAAAGGAATAAGCAGCAGCTTGAAGGTCTTGAATCTCGTCCATGACTTCGTTCATAAGTGGCTTTTCATCGACTAGCTCGACGGCGTAGTAAAGGTCGCGCAGATATTGAGCATGTTCTTCGAAACGTTCTCGGCCGGTATGGCTTCGGAATGTATGAGTTGTATTGCGAACGAGGGGTGTGACAGCAAAGCGAGTTAGGCTCCCACTTTGTGAGTATAGACTCAGAGAATCAAACATCTTCTCGGTCATGGCTGGGACTTCTAGAGGATCACGTCTCAATCGATGTGCTCTGAAGAATTTGAAGTGATCACAGAGAAGTTCTCTGTGCGAAGTGAGTCTTATGCCACCTTTGCCGATTACGACAAAATCGCGCATTGCTCTGAACAAGTTATCGTTCATGGTGCTTGAAATCAAGTCTTAGTGTTGTATGTTTGGCTATGTTGGTTTTTCGGATGTGCTCACTCCAGGTTCAAGTGTGAAGTGTCTTTCTGCGGTAGTTGTTGTAGTATTTGGCCTTGTCGACTGTGGGTATTGATGAAGTGAGAAATCGTTCTTGATATTGTTACTGTCTTTGCTAAGGGCCTCGAGATCTATGCAGAGATGGAAGTTAAACTTTTGCCGAAACTTCAAAGATTGTAACGAGGTTTGAATGTGGTGATGTCCAAGATATATCTAAATGTCAAACTAGTAGCAAATTCTGGAAAGATTGTAATGAGATTCAAGTACAAGGGACATTTGAGGTACATATAGGAAAATATGTAGCGGATTATGGTGGAAATGACTCGTAGCCTAATCAAGAAAATATGAGCATTAGTTCGAGTCTAGAGTGTCCTATAATATGAAGTCGTTGAACTCAAATGCTAGACCCAAGCTAAATGAAAGCTTGTCCTCGGATTTCGATCTCCACAGACTTCTGACTTTCAATTTTATCACTCCAATGCCGAAAGAAGCAATCACCACTGGTACTATTGACAAGATTTTGCAATTAGATTCTATGATTTTATCCCAAATATCTCCAAATAACGGAGTTGAGAAAGAAATATATAAAAACCCCACAATTTCGGTCAATCACTAAGCAATTAAGGTTACCCAGGTATCCTAATGACAAATTTGACAAGTTATTTAGAGCAATCTTGATGGGAAAAGCGGGGAGAGTGTTGATAGTTTACAGATCTTCCTAGAAGATAGCCAGCTATTTCCATAGACTTTCACTACCATAAAGTTAATGCCTCTAACACAAACTGCCATCGTCAAACAATACCAGAACTAAAACATTGTCCGCTTAGCATGTTTCTCCAGATCCCAACAATCTCATCGAAGTTTCACTTTCCTTTTAGCTCATAACTGAGAATCTTCATTGCTGCATTTTTGTTCATCGTAGTCTTTCAACTCGTCATGTCGTTAGATCTCGGTAGCTTCAACGGCTAGCGCGAACCGAACCATTTTAGCCTCGCAGATCAAGGGCTCATCATTCTGCCAAGGCGGTGAGAGCAGTTTTCTGGATTCTTGAAGTCCTGGAAGAAGCAAACGCAATTCACCAGACGAAAATCTTGGATATATTTATTACTGTGATGGTGATGAATTTCACTCTTAAGCGAGGCTGTAGCTACCTGCCTGTGTAGGTGAATATTGTCGAAAATCCTTACGCTCTCGAAGAGAGTATCAATTTCCAAGGGTCGTCATTCCTCACAGCTCAGGGCTGCATCTATCAACTAAACCACTGCAACCTTTTACAACCAAAAAGTTATCCGCCATCTCGAAGGTCTTGAGGCAGAAGGTATCGTGGATAGTTTCTGGCTTCGAGAAGATTTATTGATTCCCAGAGGTATGCAATATCAGATTGTAACAAGCATCAATTTACCAACTAATCACTAATAAGGCTCAGAACATCCATTCTCGATTGCCACGATGAGTTCCCCTCCAAATCCCCTCTGATGACTCCCGAGTAAGCCGTTTCCATTCCCTCTCATTTGATAGGATGATAGCACTACTTTCATTTGGCCGATAGCTAATTTTTTAACATCAGGGCACTCAACGAAACCGTCATTTTATATGTTGGACCCAAGAGAAAGAAGTACATCGTTCATAAAAAGATATTGTGCGACCAGTCAGATTTCTTCAATGCCGGGTTCAACAAAGCTTTCGAAGAAGCAGCCAACGGAGAAATGTATCTTCCTGAAGATAATCCTGCTACCTTTGCTGATCTAATCGAATATCTCTATCGTGGCGCTCTTCCATATACCGAAAAATCTGGCACTTCCTTCCTGCTCAAACTTTACTATCTAGCAGAAAAGATTTGCATGACATTATTGATGGATCAACTTATAGATAAGATAATGGAAGTCCACATGATGAAACACCCCAGAGGTTTTAGTGCAGCGGCGGTTCAATCTATCCACAATCATACTCATGGCACAAGTAAGCTTCGACTATACGCTTCGGCTTTGCTGGCTTTCAAGATACACGTTGAGACTGAGGAGGCTCTTGAGAAATACCTCCCGCTTAACAAATCTTGCCCAGAGCTCTTCGTAGAGATTTTCCAGATTATTTCTATGCATAGAGAATCTGTAGTCAATTTCACTAGTGCATCGAAAGGTGTTAGGGATGCTTTCGGACCATGTGATTTTCATTTTCATAGTCCCGATGGTATTTGCTATAGGAACGCTAAGAGGTCCAAGACAATGGGGAACAAGGAGAATGAATTGAGCAGGTCATCTGCCTTAAAAAGGGTCGATACTTTTGATAGCTGTCCTTAATTTTCATACATTTGCCCACACTATCTGAAAAGACAATCAAACCTCGAATCAAATTCGTGTGTTGATGATTCACGCTATAGAGATGATATGCGCGTCTTAGTCTTCAATTGCTCTTTAAGGCTACAATATCTAGACAATACATTATTTCTTCAACCGCAAAACTCTTCTTCAATGCTGTGAATAGATGCACTGTCTCATCTTGATATTTTCAATCCAAGACATGCAACTGAGAAGCTGAAAATAAAATCATATAGAAATTGGAACAACACCCATGTGTGAATCATTTTGCCACATCAGTCATGTTCTATCCTGTCATTGTTTTCCGTTTCATCTTAGTACACAATATTGTGTGTATCATCTGTTTCATTTTCATCTGCATTGAGAGTATAATCCTCCCCGGACAGTTGTCTCTACTCCGAATCATCCGAAGCTTCTGTTACCTTCACCTTCTCATGTTCGATCACCAAGTTGGCAAGATTTAATATTCTTCACCTATTTTCAAAGATCCTGTCTGAATCCCGTGTCTTTCTCCGAAACCCCGATTTTTCTACTTTTCATTATCCTCGTCAGTTAAAGAAGGGAGCGGGACTCTTCATCTCTCCGCTAGTATCGAAGGCGTTATTATCTGATATCAATACAGTATAGAAATCATATAAATGAATAGCGATATTATATGACCCATTATAAACCTGTAGGTCTCTCGCAGCGTACAGAAAAATCTTCTTCAAGGGCCCCGACACGATAATAACCTCTCTGATCCCGAAACGTCAATTGGACCAGGCATTTGATATTCCTTTCAATCACATTTGAATTATTAATTAATTATGTGTATTTTATTAAAAAAACTACGCAGAAGCTTTAATTATCGTGGCTATAATATCATAATGCCACTATTTTCTCCCATCATTCAAGTACGAATTGAATTTTCTCGAACTCGAATATATCGGTGTCGTCAAAGAAGGAGAAGGTCGTCTTCCCTTTGTTCTCCCACGCTCGACGACCTTCCATGCTTAACAAACAAACGTAATAAAGAATATTGACAAAGAACTAAAGTCCTTTTCGGAATCAACAGCATCGAAATCCTGATAATCAGATACATCTTCAGAATTTTGACAGATTATCGAAGATACTAGCAACGCAATGTCTCAACCAGCTCCCATACTAAGCATCGAAAAGCACTTTCGTTATGGTATGAATGCTAAAGAAACGTTATTCAATGAATACTTCAAAGTATGGCAGACGAGAGAGCCGCAATGGAAAAATCGTCTTGGGGATGGGTGGAAAATATCAAAGACTTTGGGTGCGGGCGCCGGGGGTGGGGCTTCACTTGTGAGTAATATCTGCCCAAGCCAGGATCAAATACTAGAATTAGAAATGAAGTGCAGACCAAAGTACTTGGGCTGATGATTTCCTTTGATAGTGGGAGTGGCGTGGTGATCCAAAGGCAAAAAATGCGCCGAAGTTAAAGCAAGTGGTTGTCAAACTTGTGTACGATGGCTATGAGAAATACCCAAACTCCTATACTGGTCTGCGAGGTGAAGCAGCTTTCTTAGACCTGTTGAGAAAGGTTCCGACGAAGCACATTGTTCATATGTACGGTCCCCCCAAAATGGATGACAGAGGACATGTAATGTATTTCCTCGAAATGTGCCCCGGGGGAGCTTTATCATCTTTACTGGACAAACACATCGATCAAGGGCTGAAGTTTCCTGTCTCGGAGACTGATATGTGGTCGGTTTTTCATTGTTTGGCTCAAGCTGTAACAGTATTAGATCGTGGAGCGGAAGATCACAGCAAGGCATTGTGGGATAAAGATGAGATTGGTCATTATGACATGATCACAAGCAATGGTAAATACTGCACTCGTCTTAGAGATATTGAACGCTAATGACAAATCATTTTCAAGTACTCATTGGATATTGCGATAAAGTACATAGGCGCTGCCCTGCCGTAAAGGTATGTACAAGCATATTGTATAATAAAATAAAGCTGGGTGCACTAACCAAAGTGGTTGTTGACAGATCGGAGACTTCGGAGATGCAATGGAAGTTAGAAGATTAGAGCATCAAAACGATGACACTGCTAAGATAGATAGACAAGAGAGGGGTGCCATAGCATGTCGACCTCCTGTAAGAATTCTCAACATCGAGTTTTTGGAAGGGAAATGTGTAGAATTAACACTTCAAATAGGAACAAAGAGATATTGACGTTGATCATCCACGCCACGGAACTTGCTCTAATGTTTACATGGTTGGGCTCATCATGCTAGGCCTACTGGACAGCCAAGTAGCTGTTTTTATGCCCTCCCAAGGCTACACGGTGAATTATAATGAGAGGCTTAGAAATGGTTTAAACATGGCATATTATCTTGATGATGAGAAGGATATCAAAAATGCGTATTCGCAGATGCTCAGAGCATTGATTATGGAATGTTGTATGAAAGAACCGCTGTTACGACCTAGAGCATTTGAGCTGCAAGAAAGAACCGGAATGATGTTTCAGCTGGTCCAAAATGAGTTGATAGCGGATACTCTTGGAAATCATGCTTGTCCTGGTTTGGCGACCGAGAACGTTTTGCTGGAAGACTTGGAACCACCTGAAGAATGGCTGATATAACTATTCTTATTAGTAGCTGAAACTGTGGGCCTTCTTTTCCTTGTTTTCTATTGCTGCTATGACTTGGAGTTTCCTGCATCTCTGGATTTTGAAACATCATAAGGAATGCGAACAACTTGTCCGTATTTGAATTTACCATATCTACATATACAGATTCATCAGTGCAAGCAAATCGTGATGTGAATGCATACTATAGCTTCCCACAGTTTAAATTGACCTTCAAGCCGCCAATAGAAAGTTCCTCGTGATTTTTGATAGCTCAAAATATACCCATGACCTATTCCACATATGGAAGCCGAAATTACTCAGCATAATTGAAATGAATTTTATTAAACTACTCTTGTTGCACTTCTATGATTACTGTGATTATTATTCTGGCAAAGTCATGCATCTAGATTCTGTAATCTCGTAGTCGACACCTGAGTCTGCAAACTCTTTCATGCTTGTGGCTCTGGTCCGATAGATAACAGGACCACATAGTGTGTAGTATACATCCCGACTAAATATCGTTGACAAACCATTTGATTATCTCCTTGAATGGCTTACATTGACTGAGTATCGATCAATATAAAGACTAGAAGTCACGGCTCACTTTGGAATTCATCAAAAAAGACACACATGTTTTACACAAGCGGATGTCTTACCGTAGCAAGCCTTAACACCGATCTTTCATAGCGAGATACTGTCTATGGATCATAGCGAAAAGATGTCGCAATAAAAAATGTGACTGTAATAGTAGCGAAATTTTCATAACATCATATAAAAAATTTGACCTAAATGCTAATAGATGAGCGATACATTGTTGGTGATCTTACCTGCGTGATGTGGTGACTTCATTCTCGCTTACATCACGTTCCATCATGCATGACCGAGCACCTACCTCTACAGACATTTAAACTGACGGGATGAGATTTGTTTGGAGATATTAGCCTGAAAAAAAGCCATAAATACGGCATGAGAAGACAGAGAGAAAGATCGAAAGTGAAATGCGAAGCATTTCTACCCAAGGACGTTAATGAGATGATAACGTCAAAATGCAAGCCGTTAATGAACTTCAAGAACATGACGGCAAATTAGATGATACTGGTCGAGTATGAAACAAAACACCTTGATGCTATAGACTCAAAATGAATACCTACACAGCCAACATAATTCTGCGAAACTGGGCAAAAAACATCCGCGACTTTCAAATACCATCCCAAACCCCAAGATCCACCACATTCAAACCAAGACATGAGGACAAAAGTATTCATCGGAAAAACCCCACCGAAACATTATAATCCTATCACCTTCGGCTACATGAAGCTTCCTCGGGTAGGTAGCCAACATAACCTCGTTTCATCTCAAAGATTCACTTCAATTTCTTTTCTCTTCACTTCTAGATCGACTTCTATTCCGCTTTCCACTTTCTGCAGTTCCGCATGCAATCACCTGTGATAAAAAATAAATTTGGTAACACAAAAAAAAAACGCATGCTAGGGTCGTCACAAGTCGCCGTATCAATTATACTCCAAATATTTGAGCCTGCTATCTCCGTCTCCAAAAAGTTCTTAACAAGAGCCTCTTGTAGCTCTCCCTGTGAATAATCCAGAAAATCTCAATAACAACAACTACCTCTAGATGGCAAAACACACATTTTCTTTTAAACCAAAACTTGATCTCTATCATCATCAATTCAAAAGATTACAGTATCTGAATCAAATTATTCAACTTCATTCTACAAACACGATGCCTCCAAGGGTCTCGAAAAAGCGATCCGTCAGTACTTCCCCAGAGGCACGTCAACCTAAACGCGTTTGTGCCAATCTCGCGTCTCCTACATCCGCTACCTCGATTCCTGCAGAGAACGCGTCGAGCAAGACCAGAACCGACAACAACAACACGGAAACTACCAACCTAAAACCGAAGTTGAAGATCATACTCACGCTCAAGCAAGATGCAGAAGCAGCTAAAGTAGCTTCAAAAGCGACCCAGAAACAACCAATTGATCCTTTGGAAAAAGCAAGTCTGAAGAAATGTGTGCGAACCAGCGTTCCATCTCCAAAATCTTTCACAACTGGCTCTGTAGATGATGCGCCAATCAAGAAAAGGAAGAAAACAGAGGTCAAGGAGGTCCCAGTAGTATCAAAAAAGCCTCCCAAAGCGCCCGGAAAACAATCAGTCACTCCTTCTGAAGAGGCAAAGAACAAATGTTTGCCGGTTAGTGCTGAGTCCGACAAGTTCACAACCTCTGTCTGCGTGGAAGATACACCGAGCAAGACCAAGCTAGAGACCAAGAGCAAGAAAAATGCAGTACCTACCGTGAGGAAAACCATTCCTCTAAAGCCTAAATTGTCTAAATTGGCAGCACAACCAGCACAACTGGAACCAGTACCATCAGCACAAGATGCGCCCAGCAAATCTAGGTTCGCAGAAAAAGAAGTCGCTGCAATCCGTAAAAGATCAAACGATATAGATGAGGCAATGATCAGAACCAAGATCAAGACCAAGACCAAGACCAAGACGAACGCAGCCGCTACCGCAACCGCAAACACAATACCTCACACAAACCAATTTGTCTCAATCAACACTCCGCCTCCAAAGCCGAGAGCACGAAAGCCTCTCAGAGAGCTCGAAAATGCAGGAAACAACGCCATTGATGGCCAAATACAACCAAACAATGACGACGAAGATCTCGAATCAGAAGGTATTACCCAGGATTTCGATCCAACGTATAACACACTACCAAAATCGCCACCTCGAGATCCTGCCAAGTCATTTGGTCCCAAAGAAAAGAAGGCCATTACCATTTGGATGCGAGTGAACAATGCAGCTGGAACACGAGGCAACCTTGTCGCTTTCCAAGAGCTCTTATACTCTCTAGGCTGTCTAGACCCAAGTTTCGACAAAGAGATCTTGGCGAACTTTTACCAGCGGACTGAGCGATACATTATAAGAATCAAGAATTCATTGAAGGAATGCGGTGCAGTTTTGTTTCTAGGAGATGATAAGCTAGAAATGGAACCGATCTTTGCGGATTGGACGGTGGTTTGGTTAGAAGAGGATTGGGATGGGGCCGTTGATACGAGAGTATACTATACTGACAACTATCTTGAGAAATACTCACCCGCTCTTGGAGGAGATGAGGTTGTTGCGGTAGAGCGACCGGCCGACGAGCCATTCGAAGAGGAAGCGGAGATTCTCTATGTGGGGGATCCTGATGAAGTCGTTGCCAAAATCACCAATACTAACACTAGTAAAGTCAAAGTCCCAGTATGTGATCCTAACCCCTACGGAATGGCGGATTGGAAATAAAGTAGTGGAGGCTCAAGGAATGTGGGTGAGGGAGGGCTTTCCAGATTGTTCTGGCATTTGTTTTGCAGAAGTTGATATGATTGTGAGAGATATGGGACGAATTGTATAGACTATATTCCAATTGAGAATAACAATTTCCTACCAATACATGATTTGGGCTTTATGTGAGCTTTATTGAATCCGTTGTGGTGCTCGTTTTTTCAAGATATAGCCGGCCAACCATCGAAGATGCCGCGTCATTACTTGAGGACTTCGAAAAACGGGTCATTTCATTTCACAAATCGGAAATATGGATATGCCATGCCACGTCCTGACATATATTATTTTGTGATACTACTGAAGTAGCATTGTAATCTTATATTGCAGTGCTAGTTTGATGAAATATGCATGCGAAATATCGTATTATTCATTCGAATAAGTGAGAAAAAATTCAAGCTTCGGCATTGTTATCCTCTTCCTTTGAAGCTTGCAAACTCAGCACATTTCATTCATACACACTGACGCTTGTTATTGGAGAGAAGAATTATTACATGCTTACAAGATTCAGCCAAACTCTAACCCCAGATCACGTCTCAAGTCGTCTGGTCGTATCGTACAATTCGTTAATGCCTAGGCCACCTCTATATAATTTTCTCTGCCTCTTCGACCAAGTCCTCGACCTTGAAAGCCGGATCGCCTCTTCCAAACATCTCTAATAGTCGACGTCTATCACTCTTTTCCCCAACAGGACCATAAAACTTCTGCAAACACATAATCAACCATTTCGCTTCATCCACACTCACACCTCTTCCTTCAACAACCTGACCCTGTAACAACACCAAGCCTTTCTCTTTCTCTAACTCTAAATGATGTGTGATTGTAGTATGCGGTTGACTGTATTCTCCTCTCAATTTATATTCCGCAAGATGTGTGAACAGGACAGTGACGGTATTCTCAGCCGGGAAAGTCCATTGTAAGAAATGGATTTCGGCACCTTGTCCCTCCTTTGGAAGTGGGAGAATGAAGTGAGGGAATTTCTTTGCGGTCTTCTCAATTGTTTTATACGTGTCTAGGGGTATGACTGCGCACAATGATCTGGCATCGCTGGCATGTCGGTATCGCCAGAGTGCTTCAATATTTTCTGGTGGAAATGCGCGGACCTTCTCGAGATCAAGGAATGAGGATAAAGTCTTCAATCCAGGAGTTGAAGAGGACACATTCTCGGCTGGAGTTTGAGGCGGTGGTGGAGGTGGAGGTGCAGGGAAAGGTGACGAAGTGGTCGGGGATGGTGGTGGGGTGGGAGGGGCATTCGCAGGAGTAGGAATAGCAACAGTAGCTTTCTTTTTCAGCTCTTCGATTTTGGATTTGTAGGCTTCTTTCAGTTCATTGGCGTCTCGCAGACCTTCCCTATAAACAGCATAAGCAACAGGTATAGCATCTACTGATTTTCACCTCTTACTCTTTTGCTTTCCGTTCAAGCTTCTCTTTGTACTTTTCCAGCACTCTGTCTGATTGCTGAGTAGCCAAGAACCGGACATCATGAACTTGTGCCCATCTTTTTTGCGAAACTCGCAGATAAGGGGGCGCACCCGAGATTATGCGACGGATCGCTGGAGAACGAATAATAGCCATTCTTGTGTCGAGTAACAATTTATATATTGATCAATTTCACAAGTCCTAAGCCTCACAAAATATCAATTGTGGTTGGTAGAGATAAATTATGACGCGGCCGCACCGCCGAGATTTCGATGTACCGCCCGACCTCGAGCCGACCCCGGATTTCGGGATGTCTCATATTATTAAATCCCGATGTGGAAAACAAAAAGAAATCATAAAAAGCAAATCGAATTTCTCGAGATTGATATTTGAATCATGCAATATCTTCGACAAAGGAAAAGTCTAAAAGTTTCAATATTTACATGCATTTGGTCCCACTCTACAACTTCGCTTTTTCTCCTTCCTTTAACACCTGATCCTTCAAGAGTCTCCTCAGAATCTTTCCACTGGGACTCTTGGGAATCACATCCACAAATTTAACTCCGCCTCTTAACCTCTTGTGACTTGCAACCTTCGCTTGCAACCATGCCATGATCTTCTTTTCCTCTTCTTTATCGCCCGCAACTCCTTTCTTTGGAACAACATAAGCTCTTGGTACTTCTGTTGCTTGTTCTTCATTGTAGATACCGATCACTGCAACATCATCTATATCTTCGTGAGAGATGAGGAGACCTTCTAACTCTGCCGGTGGTACTTGGAAACCTTTGTACTTGATCAATTCCTTGACTCGATCAGTGATATAAAAATTGCCATCTTTATCCTGATGTCCCACATCTCCAGTTTTGAAATATCCATCCTCTGTCAACGCGTTCTTGGTGCCCTCGGGATTGTTTAGATAACCTTTGAAAACATTAGGCCCCTTAATCCAGAGCTCACCAGTCTGTCCTGCCGGAACCTCTTTTTCTTCGGCATTCATATACTTTGCTACTTGGTTTGATAGTAGACGTCCGACAGAACCTGGATATTTGTCCCAATCTTCCCAAGGTTGAAGATGAGTGGTAGGACTTGTTTCGCTAAGGCCATAACCTTGCTTGATTGGTATCTTGAGACGAGCATACACAGCATCAACAAGTTCTCGTGTCAATGGCGCCGCTCCTGAACTCATCATCCTAACAGTGGATAGATCATATTTAGAAACTACTGGGCTCTTTCCAAGCATGAGAACAATGGGGGGAACCACGTAAGCAAACGTAATTCCAAAGTTCTGTATCGTTTGACAAAATTTATCCAACTCGAACTTCTCCATCACGATGCATTCCAGCCCCATATAGAGAGAAAAGTGAATAATGCATGTCAAACCCTGAATGCAGTTAGCAAAACCGGTAACCTTGCAGTAGCAAAGTCACTTACATAGATGTGGAAAAAGGGGAGAACGGCCATAAGTTTGTCGCCTCTACCATCCTTTCCACCTTTCCAACTTAGATTGCCCTTCTCAGCTGCATTTGCCATGGAGGTATTCGCAACAATATTTCCGTGCGTGAGCATAACTCCTTTCGGGTGGCCAGTCGTCCCACTACTGTAAACCAAAAATGCTAAATCCTCTGGTTTACATTTTGTTCTCCTATATCTTGATGTACCAGCCAAATTTCGCACGTTCGTAAAGTGCTTAAATCGGTGTGTCTCATCCCTTCCATCACCCACCAAAATGATCCTATCTTCGGGTATACCAGCATTTTTAGCTGCTGCTTGTGCTTCTTTCAGGAAAGGCTTCTGGGTAACAATCCCTTTTGCCCCGGAATCCTTCAATTGGAAAGTCAATTCATCGACAGTGTATCCGGGATTCGCAGGAGAGACGATTCCGCCGGCCCAGTGAGTTCCCCATAGGATAGCAGGAGTGTCGATACAATTTGGTGTGTAAAGTGCAAGTACGTCGCCCTTCTTCCATTCCCAAACGGCTTTCAGACCTTTTCCAAACTCTATCGCAGTATCTCGCAATTGCTTGTAGTTGTATGACCGTGACGTCTCGGCATCCGTGTAAATTGCTGGAAAGCAAACAGTCAGTTATTGATCTTCGAAGGCTTGTTCAATAAAAATGATGATCAATACTGCAGAATATAATTGGTACCTTTATCATCTGGATATTCTCTATCTTTCCGTTCGAAAAGAAACTCCCATAGATCCAGCTGTGGGATATCTAATAGGGGATATGTTGATGCAGTGGGCATATTTTCTTTGTATCTGTATGATCGATATGTCGGCAGTTTGCCAATTGTAAGAAAGAAGAAAGTAATAAACTGTTATAGAGGTATCTATAGAACAAAATGGTATGTAGAAATCAAGGCACAGCGGAGCAAAGTAAGAGAAAGTCACCTACCTAAATACGTTACTGATCAATAATATGGTTGGCTGGAGGGAGATATGCGGTGTCAGGATTGGCTTATCCATCAGAACGCCTTTGTGGAGTGGGGACCACAGAACTTTCTGCAAAGCCGAAACACCGAGGTAACATTGACACTCAGACACTTTACCCCAGATCTTGGCTTGTCTCAAGCTCGGTTAAAGTCACGAGTTGTCGGAAATCATTGACTTATTATTACTTAAGTAGCTCACCAGTAGATGCATAGACTCACGGGATAACATAACAGGAAAGTACAATTTCACACTCAAATTTATCAATTTTAAAACTCAATCAAAATTCCAAATTTCATTTAATATTATTTAGATTAAGATATATAATTTATAAATATAAGATTTATATAATATATAAAGATTAAATCTTAAAAATGAATATTGAATTTAAAAATCAAATAGTATGTTTTCTTATTAAATTTTTTAATGGGATATTATATAATCGATTGTATAAACTTGAATTTTGTTTTTTTTTTGAAATAAAACTTTCACTATATAAAATTCTTATATTTGAGAATAATAATTCTTAATTTCAAAGTTAAATATCAATTTTTTGAATTTTAATTGAATTATCAAAACAGCTCTTTTTGGTGTGAAATTGTGCTTTTCCTCTTAAGTGTCCTGTGAGTCTGTGCACCCACTGGTGGCTGTCCCAATCCGATTACTAAACATGACCTCTGATTACTAAACATGATCTCGGAACTGAACAGGCATACATCGTATTTCAATCGGACATTAATGATTCAAATTAAGACTTTCTCATCTATAAAGGTTTTATATTAAAGGAGCTAATGTTTATAATATAGATATAAAGACTAGTAAATTTTAACAATTAATTAACTTAGACTTAATTCATATTAACATTTGATCACTAATAACGATGTACTAAATGTCTAATAGATGTTCAAGCTTTCAATGTTATATAATTAGTATATTCAATCTCTAAAGGTTGATTAAAGCTTTGATACTAGTAGCCCCTATACTAATCTTAGGATTCGAGAGTTTCTTCAAGAGTTCTTCTCATATACTAGATATAGAGAAAAGCGAGCGTCGCGGCTTAACTGATCACTAATTTATTGTATTATTGAGAATATTCATTTCGAGAAATTAAGTGTTTGATATAAGCGAGTATACTCTACTCTATTCCAGTCATTAAAAAGTGCCCACACCTGACATCTGGGCATGCTAGCGTGTCTCTTGAAGACACTTGCCCACTAGATTACCCCTATACAGACCTTCATAAAGGTTTACAATCCGAGCTTTCAAAGAGACAAGGAAACCTCAGAGTGGTGTCAAAACATCCGCAGACTCGAATTGTTCTAGAAAACATCCGGAAAACCTTCTATCATATATTGAATGTTACTCTGCGCTTTTGTTTCAACGTTTTTCTTTTTGAATGTTGTAGCAGTATGACAATAGCAGAGGAATAAGTACTAAGCTTGTATTGTGCTAGGTAGAGGGTTCCGGATCCGTCAAATGGAGAAAGTCTTTGAAAGATGATGCCAAATTGTCGAATCGGATCTATTCATACATATATTACTCGACAACCTGGGAAGCGGTGGTCGAGCTTCTGCACAGCATACTTTTCGTTATACGAAGACATTTAGATGTAGCAAGACTTATGGTGAAAAGCAAAGGAATTCGATTAAAATGCTCAAAAAAATCGAATGGAGACGTCTTGTCTGCATAAAAGTCATCAATCATTGAAGCTAGCGATCTTTTAATATCTACTTCTTCACGAACCTGATCCATCCACGCGTGTCCTCAGGCTGACCACAGAAATATGCCAACACGCATATTCAACGTGTACGCATCGTTCGAAAGATTGTTGAATAGCAAATTTAGGTCATCGAGGGGAAAAAGGTCGAAATACAACTCGTGCCGAAACCTCGGGGCTGCCTAGTGGTACCTTGCTTACTTGGTATTATAGATTGAAAAGAATGGGCAACTTGATCTTACCTACTGTATCATATTTGCTCTTGCCTCCAAGGCTTGTACACAAAAAGCTGTTTCAACAGTTGCTCACGTCGGTCAGATTTGTCCTTGAGCTCCAGAAGTTTGACCTCCAAGTCATTCTTCTCCTTTTGTGCCTGCGCCTTTCCAATCTAGCATCTCAGTTTGATAACCGAGTGGCTCTCGAGTGAGCGTCTCATCCACCTTTCCCTCAAGATCATCCACCTTCATCTCCATTTTGTTCATCTTGATCTCCATGTCCTTCATCTGAATTTTCAAATCAATTTCGTCCACTTTCTGAACAATCTTCTTCAATGTTGTCTGCAATTGAACCTGCAGAATAATTAAATTCATGGTAAGAACAGCATCAAAAAACCAGTAGATGATGAACAAACCCCCGAATACCAGTGCAAAAAACCAAATTGTGAGAAGAAAAAATGGAACACATTTTTTTCCACCTTCAAAATGGATTCTATTCCCAGAATGACACACAGTATCAGGGCTGAAGACCTTGTTAAGCAGACCCGTGAAAGAGATGTTCGAAGCCATTTGTTGAGTTGTCAAGTTCGTTGAGAAGTTATCGAAAGTCGATGCAGTTATCTTTGTGACGTTTATGAGTTTTATCTGATCTATGTTGCTCCTGATGTTGCGTTAGGAGTTTCTGCGATTTGATTGTTCTTGTTGCAGATGTCGTGGGTTTACTTATAAAGACTTTGAGGCCATAGTTCACAAGAAGATTCTAAAACATGTCAGCCGAGTGAGCTGTAAGATCTACGGCTCATTGAAAGCCGTTGAATTATTATTCACTGTACTGATCGAATTCAGATTATTCCATCCATGTCTGTGAGCACGCATAGTTGACTAATAGTTTCAAGAAAATTCTTGAAGAAGATTCATATTATGCATGGTCTTGAACCATACCACTCTGACCCATCTAAGAGTATCAAGTCAAAAGGCGTTGCATCAAATTTTCGCACTGATCAGCATTTTACCACTTACTCTCTCTTTGCAACTGTTCTCACTAAGTACTTCAATCTGGCTATCGTACGATCATATGCACTAAATGAGGAGGTACGAAATCGATTGAAAGAGTCCTCCATGATATTTTCAAATTCTCAAAACCAAATTTAGATAAAGCCAACGATTTTGAATGAAACAATGACGAATTTGCATAGCAGCCCACGCGAGTTCAAATATATCCAACCTCCAAATCGATTCTGACGGCTAGTCAGCCATGTCATAGCGAGATAAAAATAATCAAAAATGTTGTAATCTTACTTTTGAGTTTCCCATGTTCATAATTTCAGCTTCATTTCTCCCTTCTCGCGCCTGTATCATCCATCAGACCTCCAAGTTCGCGTTCATCCCCATGTTGTACCTCCCTGGTACCAGAGCTTCCATCTTCATCTCCATCTCTTGATCCTCCACATTCATCCGAGTCTTCTCTACCCCTTGCACCTCCACTGATCCTTTCTCAACGTTGTAATTTTTCCTCCAACCATACCAGTATACATAAGCACCGTTATAAAGAATCATCATGCCAGACAATAATCTCTGTTCCGGCGTCTGCGAATCGATAAATTTCAGTGTGGAGTCGATTGTGAAGAGAATATGTCGAAGAAAGTTGGTCGAATATTGCTCGTTGTCGGAATTCGTGGGGTGTGTCATGCTGTATGCTGGATTTATGAACTCCATGTATACATAGAGAAAAAGAGAGCAAAAGTTGACAGCGGGATACAGCACCGGAGAATTTAGGTCGAGAAGGAACACAAATATGGAAAAGAAGATCTTGAGAGAAAGTTTTATCGGATGAGAAAAGTTTGTTTCGACTATCAACCCAGTCTGGTTATGGTCTGAGGAATCCGAGAAATCCATGGTAACTGGATGATGCAGTCAATCGCTGGGAGAGATGATATCAAAAAGTAGCTGTAGGCTGATATTGTGGTACAGCCGTTCATAGCACTATCGAGAAATTTGTTGTGATATTACCCGTAGCTTGGTTGGAGTCTTTCATACATTCAATGGTTTTTTGGGTTGTGACGATATTGCAAACTCGTTGCAAAGGCTTTTATCTCATTTGATAAAATTCCATAGAGTCCCGTGACCAAATTGGTGTGGCAGAAATACATCGAATTCACTAACAGTACGACCAATCGTCGCTTGAGTATTGGTGATTAGAGGACTCTTCATTTCCAGATCTTTCGAGCTTTGTTCAATTCACAGAACTCAATAGCAGCAGAGCGAACTGCGCCAAATTCTTGATGCTTCCACAGGCAACTACATAGAACTTTTGAGACGCCCAATGTAGCCGGAACTGGATACACTTGACATAGTTCTGGGACAACTTAAGGCTAAGTCTATAAAATTTACAATATGATTGTATCATAACCGATAAGAAGTGAACTTTCACTTCAAAGAGATTGGCCCTTAGCTCTTGCGCCTACAGTACCGCCAGTGTACTACTCTCAAATCTTTGAGTCAGTATAAGCACCGGACTTTCTTCTCCTCTCCATCCGAACATCATGATCAAATTTCAAAGTCAAGAAATCTATGTCGATTAGAAGCATACGCCAGTTGTGTACCACAGACGTATTCACCGTTATTGCGACAAGCAGTCTCAAGAATTCTATCTCAACAGCGATAAGACGACACCATTCAAAAAATTGGATAATTGATCGTAATCCCATGAATGCGAGTAATTCTACTCCCGGAAAATCGTTCTTCTTGAAAACTTAACCCCTCGCTTAACCCCTTGCGGATAGGGTTCTACTACCTGATAGGACACAGAATGACGAAAGTAAAGACATCCTCCTGAAAAAACAACGCGATGACCTCATATTGCATAACGACAGTATATTTCCCCCAAAACCACCTATCAGACCACATACCAACATCACGCATTCGAGCAATTCCAAACCGACTTCTCCGGGAACAGCATCCGAAAGCCCTTCAGCAATCGTCCAGAATGCTTCACCTTATCATAGCAATACATATAGACACAGCCTCCAAATTTGCGAGTCACAGCATAAATTTTTAAATGGCTCATATCAGCACTAGTGGAAGGTATTTTAGCGAGTACGAGGAAGATCAACGGAGGTGACCATTTAGAGAATACTACTCCATCGTTCAGTGCAAATAATCATTTCATGATCTTTCTAACAATTTATTCATGATTCAATAATTATCCATATCTGTTTTCCTATTCAATTGATCAATGTGATTAGATGTCGTTTCTAGCAGTTGATAGATATATATATCCATCCGAAAGCTTAATTAAGAAAATTCAAACTAGCATCAAACCCCTTTGCGGCCGACAGGATCTCTGATCTCTTCCGGTGGGGTAATCCCTACATCGTGTAAAGTTGATAGCCGTGGAATTCGATTCTCCGGCCAAAAGAAGCGGATCTTTTTATCACCAATACGACAAGCTAGAAAAGTGGATCACATTCAGCAACATTCCCAGAACGTGTGAGGAAAAACGCAAGACTCTCGAAGAAAAACCGATATGTTGCAAGGCTCATAACTAAGCATCTCGGCGAACTGCCTATCTTGGCAGGTATTGAGAATTTTGCGTGGTATGGCCGGTGGAATAAAAGGAGAATGGAGTTACGATAGATGACCGCCGTGCCAATTATATTTAGAACGCCGTTATTCCGTCACTAATCACCAAATCGATGGCATACAGGGGACCAAAGCACTGCCTATTTTGCCCCACTTGTGTCCTTGTCGACAGCTAAATTGTGTCTTACGTTCCGCACTAAAAGTCAGCAAGCACAGTCAGATTTTTGAAACTGTTGGTTCTCACGATGTAGTATTATCTGCGCAGCATATTAAGAGATTGGATGGTCCATCAGTGAGAAGATTGATAATCATCAACGATAACCACCACTTACGACCCAAACTGTCGGGTGTAAACTAGATTAGCTAGTGTTCTTCTCATATCGTATATAGGCAGACCATGACTGCCTCTATAGACTTGGAGCATCCAATGCACTTCCTTCTCCTGCGTTTGACCTCAAAATGAGAAAAATCCACCAGCTCTAAAAGTGTCGAAAACGCCCATTAAAAAGTATCTACCCGTATCTCCTGTAGCCATTACATTATTCAACAATGGCTCTTCACTACCCAATGCGCTCACGAAGATACAAGTTTCTCAAAGCCATAATATGTCTCATCATCATATTCCTTTTCGCAATTAGAATCCCTCTTCAAAATTTCCCAAAACGCCGCTTCGATACCTGGGCTTGGGATCGCAGCTGTCACAAACTATCCCCTTTCAGCAAAATATGTACGGCCTCACGGGCCTCCATCGCACCAGATGTGCAGATTGTGATCGAAACTGGCGGCTCGGAACCCCAAAGTAGACTTCAGTACCAACTTGCAACTATGATGTCTGAGGTCCCTCGTCAGAATATTTTGATCTTTTCGGATTTGGAAGAAGAGGTTGGTTCTTTCCATGTTCATGACGCATTAGCGGATGTCTCGATACGCGAACGAATGGATTACCCTGAATTTGCTTTCTATGATGAGTTGCAGAAATATCAACAGTTGGGGAAAGATACTCGGGAGCTCAAAGGTGGATGGAAATTGGCTAAGTACAAGAACATGGCTATAAAGCGAAAGATTTGGAGAATGTTAGGAGAGACTAGTAGCGCGCTTCCTAGAAAAAAATGGTATGTATTCATCGACACAGACACTTTTGTTGAATGGGATAATCTCCTTGTCTTATTAGAGCATTTGGACCCGCAAAAGAAATTATACATAGGAAGTCCTGTCTGGGCTGATCCTAAAGCACCATTTGCGCATGGCGGTAGTGCATATGCTCTCTCATATGGTGCCCTGGAATCACTAAATATGCATGGTCTGGATGGATGTAGAGAACCAATGTATAGCCAATTCGGCGTGAACACAGCATCCTTGTGCTGTGGTGACGAGGCTCTTGCTAAAGCACTAAAGGAGATAGGCATCAGACTTAAAGGCTATTGGCCAATGTTTAATGGAGAGGTACCATCAACTCTTGGTTTTGGAAGCGAAATCTGGTGCGAGCCTGTACTGTCGTTACATCATCTCGCTGGAACAGACATGGAAGACTTGTGGTTATGGATCGAAAACTGGAAAGCCCGCACAATGAGCATGGTATATAAACTTTTATTTATCCCCTTATATCTCAAACAAGTAATGAAAATAGAACACATTATGAACGCGGCGGAACTTCCTCAACCATCCATGAAATTTCTTTCAAAAACATATTCTCAGCACCTCACTTGATGTCCAAACCTTACTAAATATATCCACATAGCAACCATTCCTCTTCAAAGACCTATTTGAATACATCACTCCCCAATTAGTGCCTCGAATGAACGATTGGGAAAATACCGATGAAGGCTGGAAAATATATCACAACAAAGGCACTCCAGTATCCTTCTCACAGTGTAAAGCAGCATGTATCGCAGACAGGCTATGTTTCCAATTCGTTTCTCATGGCAATACCTGCGCATTATCCCATACAATTCGAATTGGCGGGAAGCGATTACCCAAGAACGAAGCTGATCAGAGGTATGTCTCAGGATGGAATTTGGAGAGAATAAGGGAGTGGACCTCGGAAACGAAATGTACTAGTGCGCATTGGCTACATTCAAATCCTTGAGCGGAAGGAGCGATATACCTAAAGTGACCACGAGAATAATAAGCAGAAACTGCAACAATCAAGCGGATTTGATATTACAAATCCTAAATGGCGTAGATGAGATGCACACCTCCGCTCTCCTCCTCTTACTAACCGAAGAAGAAGAGAAGAATCTTCAACGAGAAGGATCAGGCAATTCGAATGAATTGGGAACGACAAAAAGGGAAACATCTGAACCAAATCAAGCGAGGTGGCGGAGAGGAAGGAAACTATTCACATGAAAATGTGCTCGAAAATTGAAAGCTGTAGTGAAAAATCTTACAGCATTTGTAGTAAAGATATTGCTAGGATATTCTCTGTGTTTTCTGTCTACTTCACCATCACCGAGGATCTCACATTTCTCATGTCTTCCCACACCTCACACCTCACACCTCACACCTCATACTCTAATTTTACTAGATCATCACTACACATAAGATGATCTCAATCGTTTTGAATCATATTACTTTACATCGTATCGCGTCACATCAAATCACTTCACTTCACACAACAAATCATATCACCGTATTCATCCCGATCAATCCCAAACAATAAACTCCATTTCCAAATTACTAAAACCTCCGTTCTCTGAGCCCCCAAGAATCCCTCTTTCCCAAGAAATCCCCGTCCCAAACCCAGACATACAGATCCCAAAATTCATTCAGAAAAGGCCTTATTCCAAATTACTATTCGTAACCCTTACTCCCAGATCCCAAGGAAATCCCCGAAGATATCGATTCTCATATTCTCTGATACTAACCAGATTTCAACTTCATCTCGAAATCTCGTTTGTTGTCCAATTTTTTTAATTTCCACCCATTCATCTATCTACACTTGAGTCGAGTCCGGCATATTTCGACAAAGTCGAAACAGGGGCCTTCATTCCCACCCCTAGCCCCATCCCCATCTTCTTCTTTTTGTTCATAGTCACTGGCAAGGGTAAAAAGAATAAGAAAGAAAAAACTTGCAATGAGCAGATTGGCCAGGAAAATGTGTACTCGTC